ACAGTCAAGCTTACCTGGTAAAGGAGCAGCAGAGAAAGGCCACAGTCAATGGGCCATAAAGGAATCTGCACCATTATTTATCCTTCCAACTGTACTTTACTATTCCCACTGACAACATAACTTTCCTGGACTCTTCTGATCCCAGATGCTGTAGGTAGAATTTAATCTGAACGTATTAGTGGGTTGGTGGGCTTTCCTACTTGCCTGAAAACTTGAGGGAAAAAGCCAAACACAAATGCCAGAAGTGAATTCTCCATCAAACCCTTGATCGACATGCCCATGCTAGAAGAAAGAGCAATGTTCCTTCGAATAGGAAACTCCTGAAATGAATCCTCTAAACAACTGCAAAGCATAAGTCAGGTATCCTTAAGCTGGTGCCCTTTTCCCTGCCAGGAATGGAAGGTACTCCTTGTATTAAGCATATTTTCTGTATTCTTGATGCTTTGGCATCTGGGACCTTGTTGAGCCAAGAAAGATTGACAGACCCAGGACTGGCTAATTCCTACTTAATTCCTACTCCCCTTGGAGTGTGCCTTTCATATGCAAACCAATTAATCCAGGGTATATACTTTGAATCACCTCCTTTAAGGACTTTGATTATAGTCATTTGTCTCCTCTTTTTTCTTAATCAATCCAGCTAGGGGTGTGTAAGAAAAACTGACTTTCTCATGGGGAAAAACCCATATAAATAAAATCAGAAAAAAATTACACATATTTATATCACAGGCAAATGACTAATATTCCTAATATATAAGCAGTTCCTAAAAATTTTAAAAGGTCAACAGCCCAATAGAAAAATGGGCAAAAGATTTGAGTGGACAGTTCACAGAAAAAACATATACAGGATCCTTACACATATAAAAAAAATGTTTCAGCTGGTTGGAGCATTATCCCATACACCAAAAGGCTGCGGGTTCGATTTCTAGTCAGGGCACATACCTAGGTTCTGGGTTTGATCCCCAGGCGGGGTGCATACAGAAAGCAACTGATAGGTGTTTCTTACGTTCGTGTTTTTTTCCCCCTCTTTCTCCCTTCCTCTCTCTAAACATATTCTTGGGTGAGAATATAAAAAAATATATTTTGAAAGGAATTAAATAAATGGAGAGATATAGCCATGTTGTTAATCAATAGTATTAACTCTTAAAGCAGCATTATCTTCTTATGGTACTAAGTGCAACTTTTTAATTACTTAATTATTGTTTTAGTCCACTACATAGCTGTCCAGTATTTTTCATACAGGTTCCTTTAGAAATTAAAAAAACATGTATTAAGATTTCTGTAATGACTTAATATTACATAGTGGACTTAGGTTAAGTATACCTCTATTTGAATCCTGGCTTTACTACTTACGTTTACTAGGGCAATCTAAATGTTTTCCCCAATATTCATATAATAAATATTCGAGCTACATGCCAAGCCCTGAGCTACATTCTGGGAATACAATGAGATTTTTAGTCACAAAGAACTTTGTTTCATTCCTTAATTTGTAATTTGTGGATAACAATTATCCAGTGAGTAGTCTAAGAGAGGACCACAGTGAAGGTCAAATGAGACTGTGAAAGGGTTTCCAAGATTGTAAAACACTACACAAAGATTTACTCATTCAAACATTTATTGAAACACCAGGCATTGTGCTAATCACTACAGATATAACACTGAGCAAGGCATGAAGTCCCTGCCCTTATAAAGCTTACAATATAGCAGTGATTAATAACAAGTAACATTAAGTGTGTTAAGTGAATGGCTGGAAGGAAAAAAAGGGTATTTAGGGAGGGTTTAGAAGGGGTACATAGTCTAGTGGGCATCAATGAAGGCTTCCTAGAGGAAGTCGTATATAAAGTGAGACCTGAAAGACGAACAGAAAATTACCTTATCTTTAAGAGCAATGGTGAAAGCAGTGGAGTGATATGACCAGATATGCTTTTTGGAACAATCTGGCCGCAGTGTGGAAAGAGATCAAAACCTGAGAAAGGGAGATTAATGAGGAGGTTGTTGCTATCATTTAGGTAGGTTGATGGCCTGAATTAGAAGAGTAGCACTCGAGAATTAAGAAAAATTTAGATGGTGGACTTAACAGAAAGGTTTTTGTGAATGTTATGATGTATGAAGAGGGAAAGTCATGGATAACTCTGGATAACTCAAGTTTTGGCTTAGGCAAGCCGACTGAATGGGTGGTAGTGGTGGTACCATTTACCAAAAGGGGAAACATGTTAGAAGCAGGTTTAGGGGTTTAGGGGCAAGATCAATGACATATGTACTGTGCTGCACCTGAGACAGCAAAATGGATGTAAGTTGGCAATTAGATATATGAGTTAGGAAAGGTTTAGAAAGAAGATATAAACTTGAGAGTCGTGTGCATATAGATGATACTTGAAACCATGAAAGGAAATGGGATCAGTTAAGATGATGTAGAACAAGAAAACTTAACTATCCCAAGAACACAGATATTTAAGGGAAAGAAGTACCTGCAAAGAAGACTGAGCAAGCATACCTGGTATCTCCCGAAGTCAAGTAAACATCTACTTCAAGGAGAGTGGTCGATGGTGGTATCAGAGGGTAAGAATATTCACAAAAACTTTGTGAGCTTGATTGAGCAGTTTGAGTGGCAATGTGGGACAACAGGATTACAGACAAATCGTTTAAGAAAACTAGTAGGAATGGGAAATATAGAGACGTTAAGTTTCTTTAAAAAATAGTACTTATTTTAACTGTATTTCACTGACACAACAGACCAGCAACAACTACTTTATAAAAAAATATTTAAAAAAAACCTGTCATGCAGTTACAGAATTACTTAACACAGAAAACAGTAAAATACACATTTTTCTTCTACAAACAAGACTAGTTTATAGCAAATGCTCTATTACTCGTGGCCAATTTAAAATCCTTTACTTATATGTCCCCTCCCCATCCACTCAATGACTATATGATGCAAACTAATTTGATTATCACTGTAAGCAAAATATATACTAGAATTTCACAAAATGTACAAGACTTCAATATTTGAGGAACCAGGGTTAGAAAGCAGAAGCAGCTTTCAGGTACTCTAATCATCCTTTCAATAAAGCACCTGCCATGAAATACTCCAAATTATTGGGAAATTACTGGTAGATTTTTGTTTGTTTGTTTGTACTTTCACTGTGTTGTTTGAAGCCTACTTCCTGTTTACCAAAATCTCAACTTGACCATTCTTGACAAGCATCTTGTTATAACACTTGCTTTTCTGCCCTCAATGAATTATATGTAACGGAATAGAGTCCTTTAATCTGGTTCAGTATTGATTACATATTTATCAATGCTACTGTGAGTTACTGGAACATGTCGAGGCTTTTATCTTAACAGCCAAACTCAGAATGTTGGAATTAGTCTCCCCTATCAAGTTTGTCCAACTTGTTCTTCTAATTTTGCTTCTATTGGTAATTTTCCCTGACCCTCAAAAATAAAATAATCTAATTGGGGGGGGGAGTGTCCTACTGGCACTTTGAGAGGAATAATTCCTGTGCCAGGTTGAAATGCCAGCAGAACCCCCCACCGAATAGGACAACCAAAAAAATCCCCTGTGCGTCCCAACATCCTCTGGAAAGAGGGTTTACTGCCTCTGATTGAGAACCACTGGCACAAGTTGGTTCTTTTGGCACTATTTTGATTGCTGAAGCACCACTTCCTTTTCAATTTTTAGTTGCATCCTGGTTCCTTGAATTTGCTGACTAATGACCATAGAATAATGTGTAACAATAGTTAAGACAGGACTCTAGCGAACGCTTTCAAATATGGATCTATACACCGGGTCCTGTTTTGAAGTCATTTTACATATTTGGCTTTACTGTACGATTTCCTTTTCATAGTTAACATAAGTTTGAAAATCACTGTTTTAGCACAAAGCAGATGGCTCACTAGAAATATGAAATTCCTAAAATCTGAATAAAGCTGCTTCTTGAGTTAAATATTTCTACTTGTGCACTGTCTTAAATACTGAATGTGGAGCAGCTTCAAAATCTCTAATAAATGCACTTCTATCAGCTAACAAAATCTGGTATATCACTATAAAGTAAAAAGTTTCCTTTAAGCAGGATTTCTTTATAAAGCAGTAACACCCATGCAGATAGGACAAAGAAGCTAAAGAATCTCACACCTCCTGATCCTGGAGTGCAAAAATATTTTTGCTTCATCCTTCTTGACAGGGCCAAACATTTGTCTACAATAGAAAAAAAGCATTACTAATAGGTAATCATTAAGATTCTATACTTACCATAGTCCTTTAATAGATGAGCTAGTAAAACAGCACCTAATTGTGAGAGATTCAGGGGAAACCTCCAATAATTGGTTAGTCTGACCTCCAAATTTCAGGAAGCCTTCTAATCAGCAATTTAAAAATAATTCTTGCTCCTAAAATTTTATTTGATTATTTCCTCTATTAGGAATATCAACCATTATTACTGTAGTGTTTGGAAAGAGGTGAGAGGTGAAAGGGAGGAAATCTGCTAATATTTACCCCTGACTCACAATGTTTTTTAAAAGTTTCAAACATTTTGATAGACAAGTATCTCCACTAAATGTATCTTCTTCCTTTTCAGAAACTTCTGAACTTGCTATGTGAATTTCTGCAAATAGGCTCAAACATACAATGAAGGAGATGATAATTTTAGACTATATGCATCAGAATTTTAACATTTCGTTAAAATATGACCTAACATTTCTTCAAAACAGACTCCTAAGTCAACTCACATCATCAGTACTAATCTGCTTTAAAAACAATTATGTCATAAAAGCAAAAGACAACGATGACTTTGACATTAAGTTTGAAAAGAGGTATTTGCATGTTCTAGTCCCATACTGCCTCTTGAGATGAGAAAAAAAAGTCAGAAGAATCTCAATTGTTAACAACTTAAATGAATAAACTTGGTGCTTTCTCACACTCCAAAGGAGTCAACTTGAAAAATCAAATTTTTGCTTTTAGGACTGGATTCTCGTGGAGTATTTCAATATTGTCCCACAAAAGCTTATGGATTAGGTGGATTTCTTACTCTCACAAGAGCATCCCAATGTGGCTCCATTTCGGTTGTGGCGATCCGAAACAGGGCGTGGAGATGCTCGTCTGTCAACGGCTGGCTCAGAGTGTGCTGGTTTCTAACCAGATATGAAAAGGCCTTTTCACAGATTTCACTGCTATCAAACAGGGATGCCACCTTATAGGCAACCCCTTTGATAATCGGGTAGGTTTCAGCACACAATCCAGCATAGAACTGCCCCAGGTCTTTGTTTCTGTATTCCTCCCAAAGGTCAGAATTTGCTTGAAGTTTTGTCAGCTCCATCCTTACTGCAATAGGTGCATGCTCAGCTTTAAAGTTAAACGGATTTGCAAACAGTTCCAAGTCCTTTTTAATGAACTTGAGGTCCTTGAAATGTCTATCAAATTCTTTCTGCAGGCGACTGATCACCACTTTATACCTACCCGGATCAAGTATTTTTTCTTCTTCTTTGATATGCTGTTTAAGCTCATCAACGACTTCTCTCAAGGCAGCAAAGTGGGTTAGGTTTTTTTCCTCAAGATGTCTGTGCAGTAAATTCAGCTTAGCATCAAAGCTACAAATGTGGTCAAATGCGGTAGCGGCGAACACTCTGTTGAATCGCAGCAGCTCACTGAGATCTCGGAGGTGGTTCATAACGTCCACCAAGAAGCCAAAATCACAAAGCCACTCTGGGTCTGTGAAATGGACTGTCGTTGCCCCTACCGAAGCCAGGAATGCCTCTATCTCTTTCCTTAACGAAAAGATGAGTTTTAAAGTCTTCCCTCTTCTTAGCCAGTTGTTCAGACACCGTCCGTTAACCCTTTCGCCATGCTCTGATTCCGATGAAGTCAGCAAAGCCTGAAACTCGGGCCGCCTGATGCCTCTTGTCTTAATCAGAAGTATCCAGTCGGATACGGTACTTATGACCTGATTAACATCTACATCGTAGGAACTCAACAGTTCCAAGTGAAGGAATCCCGAGTAATGGATGACGTTCCAACAGTTGGGGCTCACGGCCTTCTCTCTCATGTACGACACCAGTCCAGAGTTCTCACCAATCATCCTCAAGGTGTGGGTGGTGGTTAGTCCCACCATCCGCTGCAAGCTAAGCCCCGCCGTCTGCAGGGCCTCCAGGATCGCCGCCATGAGAGCGCCCACGCTGAAGTGATTCGTCAGGTTGATGATGGTCAGGAGCTCCTCTTGCACCTCCAAGTCCACGTCCACGCCGCGGACGAAAACCAGGAGGTAGTTCTCATAGGCCACGAAAGCCTGGTCATCCAAGGCAAGGGAATAGGCCCTAAAGTCCTTGGCTCGGTTAAAAAGCTGACCGCGTAGGTTTTCGTTCATGTTCAGGACCCTCTGCCGGATGGTCTCTGGAGAGAGATCAAGGCCACCCAAAACGCCTACGTGATCCGGCAGCACGTCATTCAGCACCACCTCCAGGCACTGGTACACAAAGTCCCCCTCGCCCCCGCCGCGACCCCTCAAGGCCAGGAGGCGGGCGATGCCGAGGCCCGCACGCGCCGCTCGCTCCTCGGGAGTGGGCGGGACGACCTCGGGGATGTCGCCCTGCCGCAGGCGCTCCACCAGGGCCTCGCGCTCGCCCTCCTCCACATACCGCTGGTAGTACCTGTGCTCGGCCTCGTAGTGGCGCCTGACGTCGCGTTCGCAAGCGGATTCGACGAGGTGGGCGCAGAGCAGGCAGCGGGCCCCTTCGCCCTCCGGAGGCTCCACCACCAGATAACGCCGGGTCCACTCGGGCCGGAACCCCTGAGCCTCCTCGACTTCCATCTTGCTTCTCTTAGGTGTCATCCACATGGTTGCGGAGGCTAGAAGAGCGGAGCAGATCTCCGGGAGGCTGCAAGAGAGACAGGCGGAGTAGGAGCTAGCGCCAAACGCCACCTACGCTCTGCGCAAGATCACCCGAGCCGCGCGACGCCGAGCTCCCGCTAGGGCATCTGCGCTCCGATTGGCCGAAAGAGCGGACCGTGATTTCGGCCGCGCACGCGCAAATCCTTCTAGCTACGCGGCGGAAGCTGCCTTAGGGGTGGGACCAAGAGGCTCGGGAACCCACGGACCTAAGACACTTGACTGACATGCAAGCTGCCCAATCAACAGCTCCCTCACTGGGAAACGGCGCAGGCGCAGGAAAGGGTGTGTATGTGGGGGGAGGGGGCTGGGCCGCGTACACACAGGGAAGGGAATAGCGTCAGCACCGAGAACTGTAGTGATTGGCTGACGGCACGTCCAGCGAGCATCTCGACGTGTCCTGGGCTCCTGTGGCGCCAAAATGTCGCTCGCAGCGGGCGTTATTCGGCGGCTGGACGAGACGGTGGTGAACCGCATCGCGGCAGGGGAAGTTATCCAGCGGCCGGCTAATGCCATCAAGGAGATGATCGAGAACTGGTACGGAGGGAGTCGGAGCCGAGCTTCCTTAGAAGCTACAACATAACGGGCCGCGCAGGAATGGCGCGGACACGCCTCCCTGCCCTGCGCGGAGGCGTGTACGGCGCATGCCCAGAGTGGCGGAGGCTTTGGGGGTCCTGCCTTCTCGCGCCCCTCGCGCTGTCGCGAGAGTTTTCTAGGCTTACAGGGGCCGTACGCCACGTATCATTTTAATGGTGGCCGTTAACTAAAGGAATTGCCTGTAAAATCATATACGCAAAAGATGCAGATAAATCTTCGGTGGAGGAAAAACATCTCCCTTCATCTTTCTTATCAGTTACATGCTTAGTCCAAAAAAAAAAAAATGCACGTTCAAGAGTACAAATTTTGAGTTTTATTATAAAAGAGTCAAGATTTTAAGACAGGCTGATGATCTTCCTCCTCTGGGTTTAACTTGTGATTTTCCTATTGCCAAATTAATGATCCTACTTTGTGCTCTCCTGCCCTTTTATGGGGTATACCGTGGATTCTGAAGTTTGGAAAAATGCCAACCAAAGTGGAGGGAAAAGGTTAAAAAGATGGGAAGAAAGATGGTTATGGACTCCTCACACAAAAATTCCTTTACCCCCAATATGTATTTTCTGAAAGAAAAGAGTGGAGGAAAACATTTAGAATGCTTAATGAGCCGAAACCCGTTTGGCTTAGGGATAGAATGCTTAACGACATTTTAATAGAGTCATTTTGGAACCTGAGGCTCAATCAGGTTCGAGTAAAAGATGGTTGAATTAATAGAGAAAAAGTAAGAAAAATGCAGGAGCTGAAAGGACCTACTTCTAACGGCACTTTCCTAGAAGAACAGAAATGGTGGTGACCATCCTATTGGAGATGATGGTTTGTCCCTTCTGCCCCTCCCCTTTCTCTAAACATAACAGTGTAGTCACAGAGCCTGTAAAACAAAGGAAAAACATTAATCAGACAATCTTATATTTATTTGGAATTTGTTTTTACCCCTTAGCTTATATGAAAATGTGTGCATTAAGGTAGTTACAAACTGATATTTCTTTTTCTGATGGATTTGCCAGTTTAGATGCCAAATGCACAAGTATACAAGTGGTTGTGAAAGAGGGAGGCCTGAAGTTGATTCAGATCCAAGACAATGGCACCGGCATCAGGGTAAGGAGCAGGGTAAGGAGAACCTCAGAGGAGCAGGTGCTTGTTTGCTCCATGCGATACCTGCAGGAAGTGGCAGAACCTTTCCCTGTTCTAGAGACTGGGCTTTTGTGGATGGGATTGTTTGACAGAAAAAACTCAACAGCAACAATAATTGTTTATTGGGTTCCTATTCCATACTGGGCCCGGTGCAGGGGAATGAGGAGGTCAAAGGAGTGAGTGATGAGGCCATTAAAGGATGAGTGTTCTGGGCAAGGAGAACAATACCTGCAAAAACCAGGAAGTGGAAGCATGCTTGACATGTTTAAGGATCAGCAAGGAGGCCAGTGTGACCGGAATAGGAGATGAGATCTGAAAGATAAGCAGACTGATCACCTCCAGCCTTGTGGGCCATTGTGAAATCTTTAGCTTTTACTCTGACTAAGGTGGGATGCTAGTAGAGGGTTTTGAGCAAAGTGAGTTTTGTAAGAACCCTTTGTCAATAATTTTTTACTACAATTAAATATATCTGTAAAATATGTCTAGATTTTTACTGAAGAAGTGTAAAGGGCCCCTTGGGAATGCACATGGATGACCTTTAATTATCATCAGCTGAACTCAAGGTGTAGGCAGAGCCATGCCCTGGGAACATGTTTCCCCAAAATGTGGGGGACTTGACTTACCCAGGTCTGGATATGCTAAATCCCAGGAATGAGGGAATGAATAGGACCTGGGCACACCCAAAACTTCTTTGATCTTAAATCCCCTCTGGAAATCAATAAATGTGCGGTGTTGTCTGTGGTGGGTATTAACTGTCTCTCCATCAGAGTGGCAGCCCCCACCTGGGTCCCAGCTTAAATCTGTTTCTGTGTCTTGGTGTCTCTCTCTCTCTCTCTCTCTCTCTCTCTCTCTCTCTCTCTCTCTCTTTTTTTTCCTTTCACTCAGGAACCTGTCGTTTTCGGGGGGGGGGGGGACAAAGAAGTTTTATAAAAACTGGTAATCTTTATAAAACCCATGAGACAGGATAAGATTGTCAAAATGTGTGTATGTAGAGAAGAGGGCCAAGGGTGGTATCTGGGGTTGCTCCACTGTCAGGGAGTAACAGAACCAGCCAGTGAGAGAAACGAGAGCAGCGAGAAGGAAGGAGCACCAGGCCAGTGCTCTGGGTGCCACATGAGTAAGTTCCTGCTAATTTAGAAACTCTCCTCCTCAGAGGATTATCTTCTTGAATTCACTCAAGAAGAGGGAGGTTCAAAAGGATTTGGGGGGGGGGGGGAATGAGTAAAATAATAATTTACTTATTTTTTGGTGTCTTCTAGAAAGAAGATCTAGATATTGTATGTGAGAGGTTCACTACAAGTAAACTTCAGTCTTTTGAGGATTTAGCTAATATTTCTACCTATGGCTTTCGCGGTGAGGTAAGCTAAGGGTTCAATAAATGTGTAAGTATCCGCCTGTGATGACATTTCTACCATTTGTCAGCATGTTTCTCAGTAGATAAACAAGATGTGATACTTTTTACTTGTTAGAGAGAAGTAAGTCTAAACAAACATAAATTCCATTTGCCAGAACTGAGACTTGTTTATAAATACTTAATATACCATAAACTTAATCTATAGAGAGCCCTATGACATCATATATTTCTTGATGGAAGAATGAAATACCATCTACAAAGGCTTCCTGTCCAAAAATAAAATGGGACTCTGATCAGTAGTTAAATTTAAGTACCAATACACAGAAAATACAGGGGCAAGGGAGCACAGTACATGATACTGAGATAGGGAAACTGCATGATAAAAGGCTGGTTTCCTTCAACAAATAAAGTGCAAAGAAAAGAAAAGTAGAGAAGAGACAGGAACCTGTAGATGACAAGAGATTTAAGAGCCTGTGAACTATCTCCAAAATACAGCTCTCTCTTGGATTCTGATTTGAGCAAAGTGTAAAATTTTTTTGAGACACAGATAATTGAACACAGATTGGTTATTTGATAGTATTAAGACATTGTTAATTTTATTGATTTTAAAATAGCATCATGGTTATTTTGAGTTTTTAATCTTTAAGATATATACTGAAATCTATGTGGATGAAATTATATGATGTCTCACTGGCTCACTCCCCGGCCCTGGTTGGGGCCCACAACAAATCGATTTGTCTCTCTCACATTGACATTTCTCTGCCTCTCTCTCAAAATTAATGGAAAAATACCTTCAGGTGAGGATTAACGAAAAAAGAAAAAGAAAGAAGATACATATTTCAAAGGGCTAGGAAACCAATCTTGATTATAAAGGGGGGAAAAATGGTCGTTTTTAATTTGTTTTGTCTTAATTACATAATTTAAAATTTACATTTCTAAGCATGTAATTGCTTACATGTTTTGAAAAATGTGTACAACATGATCTATTTGGAGTGACTCTGATACCCATTTCTGAAGTACAGGTTTTAAAATTGTTAGACAAATCTCTTGAGAATATTTAACGTGTTCTACATCTAAACAGAATTGCTATTTATACATTAATTGTTTGGCGTTCCTTTTGGACTTTTAATATATTTCCCTTGTGGTAGTAATTATGCTACATATTCAATTTGATGCCTTTCTTTGTTTTTAAAATGTGTTGTCAAAATGAGTGAGCAGAGTGTGCATTGCTGCATGTTAATATGGAGTGGAGGAGGCAGTGGAGATAACCTTTCCCTTAATGATGTGACGGGTTGACTCAGCAGTGAATTTTTAAAAAAAAATATATTTTATTGATTTTTTACAGAGAGGAGGAGAAAGGGATAGAGAGCTAGAAACGTCGATGAGAGAGAAACATTGACCAGCTGCCTCCTGCACACCCCCTACTGAGGATGTGCCCGCAACCAATGTACATGCCCTTGACCGGAATCGAACCTGGGACCTTTCAGTCCACAGACCAACGCTCTACCACTGAGCCAAACCAGTTTCAGCAGCAGTGAATTTTTTTTCATTCTATTTCCTTTTTTTCCCCCTAGGCTTTGGCTAGCATAAGCCACGTGGCTCATGTTACTATCACAACCAAAACAGCTGATGGGAAGTGCGCATACAGGTACAGTGCTATCTTCTTTTATTCATCGTGTTCACCCAGAGGTGTTCTTTATGTCTGCATCTCAAAGTAGTCCCATCTAATCAGCAATGATACCTTTTCTGGCTGAGCTCTTGGGTAAATTTTCTTGCCTCCCTTTGGATTAGGAAAGGTTATTAGGTGATAATCTTATTTGAAGATAGATGTGACATATTACAAGCTTTCTATTACACAGGCATATTCTAAGTGGTGGGGTATGGCTTTGAGCTGACTACAGGGCTGCGGCTGGGGTGCTGGAGGCTCTCGGTTGCCCGGCTGGCTCGGGAGCCACCACTTCTTGCCACACGTGCATGCCTGGGCTGGTGTGCCTTCCTGTGGGTGCCGCTGACCATCTGTTGTGCTGGCACAGTTTTCAGAAACTGATGAACAGCCTTAGAACAGAACAAAACCAGGATTTAAAGAATCAGAATCACATCTCTTGTTTTTTTAGGTTCTGCCCATTCACTGGTGGGCAATTCTGCCTGTTTCTCGGTCCCTTGTACAGACATATGGGAAGTAGAAGGAGGTGGAGGATTTCAGCATATCCAGCACTGATGCTAGAGGAATTTAACTCCGAATATAACTGCCCTAGGACCTGGAAGGGGGGGGGCGATACCATTAGAATCCCTTCTCACAAAATGGGGACCCTGGGGCACAACTTCGGTTCCTTCACCTCTGGGGTCGTGTTTGCCTCTGCTCAGGACCTTCAGTGGCTCCCCTTCCGGGGCGGGGTGAAATCCAGTCATCATCGGGGCAGCCAGCACCCTCCTAACGTGCTGCTCAGTCCACCTTTCAGCCCTCTCTCCACACATCCCCCGCTGCGGTGTTTTCTAAAGCCTCTGTGCTTCTGATTCTGTTTTTCTCTTCCTGGGTTATCTTCCCTGACTTCTCCTCCTGAAACGTATTCCTCTCAGAGCCCGGATGAGTTGTCACCTCTTCTCTGATACTTCCACCTGCCCCCACTCTCACCCCAGGCTGGCTATTTCCTTCTCTAGATCATTTAGCCCAGTGTTTCCCAAACTTCTCTCATGATGAGAATCACCTGGTGGAGTTGTTAAAATACAGATTCCTGAATCCCAACTAAGAAGTGCTAAACTAGAATTTTTTGGAACATTTAGGTAAAACTGTATACTTACCTGTCTTAGAGCACTAAGTTAAGTATACAGTTTTACCTACGTATTTTCCGGCGTATAAGACGACCCCCTAATTTTACAGTTAAACATAGGTTTAGGCCTATATTTGCTGTATAAGACTACCCCCACTTCAAAGAAAAGACTTACTTTGCCGTCAAGATCTGCAGGTAATTTTTGTGCAATTTTGGTCTTTTGCCCCCGATTTTCGGTTGACTTTTTTTTTCGTTTCAAAAGTTGTCTTATAACACCGGAAAATACGGTATATGTTTCCAGAAATTCTAGTCTAGCACTTCTTAGTTGAGATTCAGGAATCTGTATTTTAACAACTCTGATTGTCATCATGAGAGAAGTTTGGGAAACACTGACTTAGCCCATTGTGCTCCGCTTTGGTAACAGTCTGTGCCCTCACTAGCGCAAGAGCTTTTTAAGACCTGTCTTTGTTGCTGGTGTCTCTGCAGACCTGGTACATGGTCGCCCCTCAATAAATGCTTGCGGAATTACTGAAGAAAATGGACTGTCCTCTTAGGCACTGGCAAAGCTATTCTTGGAGCTCAAAACTCAAAAACTAAGAAGCAACATTTGCTAGAAGAAAAGGGAGATATACACTTTTTCGGTATCTAATTGGAATGGTTATGGAAGTAGCGGAAAAATAAAGAAGTGGTTATTAAGAAAACACATAACATGGCTATATTTTAATGTGTCATTAGCATAATGTTCTTTTTTATCCGTCGGATAAGTATCTCTTCTGTTTCTATTGGGGGTTTATAATCTGTTCTGTTTTCTGATTAGAGCAAGTTACTCCGATGGGAAGCTGAAAGCGCCTCCTAAGCCGTGTGCAGGCAATCAGGGCACCCAGATCACGGTGAGAATGGGACACGGGAGGGGGATTTGTTGGAAAAGAACTTCATAGAAATATTGAAATAAAATTGTCTCTGAACTTTCTAAATAACAGTAAAATGAATCTCTGCTGGTGAATAGAGACCCCAGGATCTCACTCTCTACGCAAGATAAATGCTTTTTGGCTTTTGTCCACCCCCTCGTTTTTTTTTTTTGTTTGTTTTTTTTTTAAATATATTTTATTGATATTTTACAGAGAGGAGGAGAGAGGGATAGAGAGCTAGAAACATCGATGAGAGAGAAACAGTGACCTGCTGCCTCTTGTACACCCCCTACCAGGGATGTGCCCGCAACCAATGTACATGCCCCTGACCGGAATCGAACCTGGGACCTTTCAGTCCGCAGACCGACGCTCTACCACTGAGCCAAACCGGTTTTGGCCCCCTCGTCTTTTTTTAAGCTGGGAGATTCTTTTCTGGGGATGGCAGGGCAGTTGGTATTGGAAGAGCCTTGAGCTTGGCTCCAGGGAAGGTCAGAGTCCCAGCCTTGTGTTCAGTGGTTATGTGTCCACAGTTAAGTCATTTACTGTCCCTTTACCTCACTTTTCTCACCCAGCCAGTGGCGTAAAGAACACCGGCCCACTCAGAGGGAGTTGGAGTGATTGAGTGTATCATCAGGAGAAAGTCCGTGACGCTGCCCTGTTTCTATGATGCCACATGTGGTCTCTTCCCATTCTGTGGTTCTATAAAGCATCCACTGTCATGCATCCCACCTCTCTGCCCCAGCCCCCGCTAGATCACAGCTCCCTGGAGACGCCAAGTCCCGGCCTTGATGAGGCGGGAGGCACAGTGAACGTGGGTTTTCGAGTTCGTGTTCACAGGGATTCCCTCCCAGGTGACCACGCTGAGATTTCTAAGAACCCCAGTGAGCTCAGAAATGATGTCATTATTCTTAGTTCGAAAATGTTTGAATGCCATGTGATATTATAATTATCTGTAAATGTCTGTCTGCCCCACTACATCTTGTGCTGTTCTGGGCAGCACTGGGCATTATTTGTCTTCATATTCCCAGTACAGAGCAAAGAGCCTGACTTAGAGCCAAGCCCCAGTACCTATTTGAGAAATCGGCAAGTGAAAGTGGGAGGCAGGAAAAGTAATGCCTAATTTTCTTTGTTAGGGCTGTCCCGGGCTGTTGGTAAACAGTTGGATTCTCTGCCTTAAGGCCCAGCTTGTTTTTTATTTCCACATCTACGAATTTACAAGAAAGTTCAATTTTCTGTTCAGGTGGAGGACCTTTTTTACAACATTGCCACGAGGAGGAAAGCTTTGAAAAATCCAAGTGAAGAGTACGGGAAGATTTTGGAAGTTGTTGGCAGGTACAGTTCACAATCCGGGCGTGGGTCTCAGAACTCTCCCCAGCGGCGGGCTCCCGTGCTTGAACTGAAGACAGCTGCTGGGCTGGAGAACAGCCGCCTGGCTGCAGAACGTTGCAGGCCAGGGTTTAGTCACTAATTCTGGCTTTTCTCTCATGTCCCCAGGAGAGAGCAGTTGGTGTCTGTATCAGGGAGGGTTCTTTGGTGACAAGCAAAACAGACTGACTTGCTAACGAGCCCAGAATAAATTTGTGGGAAGGCTGGGAGTGGCTCACGAGGGGGAGAAGCGTGGCCAGCTGCTGCTTGGGGAGGATAAGGACCAGGGTGTGATTTTGTGTCGTGACCATTACAGTTGCTTTCATTCTGTTCTTGATTCTGATCAGAAGTCTCTTTCCTGGGGAGGGCATGTGGTTGGCCTAGCCTGGGTCCCCCATTATGCCCCACGTCCCTGGCGAGAAGATTTCTTTTTTTTTTCTTTCTTTTTTTTAATATATTTTATTGATTTTTATACAGAGAGAAAGGGAGAGAGATAGAGAGTTAGAAACATTGATGAGAGAGAGTTATCGATCAGCTGCCTCTTGCACACCCCTACTGGGGATATGCCCGCAACCAAGGTACATGCCCTTGACCGGAATCGAACCCGGGACCCTTCAGTCCCCAAGCCGATGCTCTATCCATTGAGCCAAACTGGTCCTGGCTTTTTTTTTTTTTTTTAAATATTTTTTTTATTGATTTTTTACAGAGAGGAAGGGAGAGTTAGAAACATGGATGAGAGAGAAACATCCATCAGCTGCCTCTTGCCTATCCCCTACTGGGGATGTGCCCGCAACCAAGGTACATGCCCTTGACTGGAATCAAACCTGGGGCTCTTGAGTCTGCAGGCCGAGGCTCTATCCACTGAGCCAAACCAGTCAGGGCGGGGAGAAGATTTCTTTTTTTTTTTTCTTTTTTCTTTTCGATAGACTTAATCTGCCGGCACAGTGGCTCCAGCATGGGCGCCCTGAGCCTGTACTTCCTGCGATTATAACGGACATGTTAACTGCTTTGCAGTTTTTCTGAAAAATCAAAAATGAATAAAACATTTGCCCCTAATAAAGTGGAATGGACCCAGACATCAAGTTTCTTTTCTATTCCCTGGAATTGTATAAACCCAGTGTCAGACTATTCATTATCTCCTGGAAGTAAAGGAGCTCTAGTGGGCAGCTAAGGTCTGAGGTTTGGTAGAGTTAATTATTCGTTGTTATTGAATGAGTGCATTTTATGAGGCATAGCCCTTCGTGGGGCATGTGAGGGAGGAGAGGCTGGCGTAGGACCTTGGGTTGGGGAAGATGGGGGTGAGGAGCGGTGTCATGGGGGGATCTGAGCGAGTTCTCAGGCTATCCGTGAGGCAATCCAGACCTTTGGAGCTTGTGAGACTAAAACCAGGCAGGGGGAAATTGTGCTGAGATAGCCCTGGATCTGGTCAGCAGCCTAGTGATGCAGAGTGGAACCCCATCTCCTGCTGGATCAGTCACGTTTAGCGCTGCTAGCCGGTGAAGTGTCTGCTGGCTTCTTTTCCTGTGGCTAAAACAGGACACATGAGGATGCTTCTGTTTGTGTCTGTCTTTGTTTGCATCACGGACCACCATGCACTTAACTGAGAGGGGACTCTGGCCCTCAGGGTGCGTTTGGCCATACTGCATACAGTTTTGTTTTGTTTTCCTCCTTGCCAGGTATGCAATACACAACTCGGGCATCAGTTTCTCAGTGAAAAAAGTAAGTTCTTGTTTCATAGGGGATGGTTACGTATTAGAAAGGGAAGATGGCTTTCTGTAGTTTGCCTGTGGGGGTGGGTTACACTGTTGCCATCACATCGGGGAGACAGTGAGTCGCTGCCATCATCTGTTTCCCAGCAAGGGGAGACCGTGGCCGACGTGAGGACGCTGCCCAGTGCCACCACCGTGGACAACATCCGCTCCGTCTTTGGCAATGCTGTCAGCCGGTATGTTGAGAACTTACATTGTAAAAACATCCTCGGCATTTCATCCCATTATTGTGGATCAGATAGCACCAGCCTTAAGAGTTTGCTTTAATCAAATTCATTGAATCCAATGTTCAGGCTTCACATTTGTTAACAGAGTCGTTATTTCACGTGATCAACACTCCTGGGAGATGTCTCTTCGATGGCCTGGCTGTCAAATAGTGTGTTCTTCCTAAGTCTCTGTCTTCAAAATAGAGTGTAGTAGGATTCTCTTATCCTCCAATGCTCCCTCTTTTCCTTGTATTCCCATTATCATCCCTTTAGGATTAATGATCACTCAACGTTGATCCGTTGCCTCCATCTCCCAGGCTTTGTGCCAGAAGTTGAGGGTGGAAAGACGAGTAAAATATTCTCTGCCCTTGACCACTCCCTCTCCAGTGGCAAGCGTGTCTGTCAGTGTCACCACGTCTTTACTGTCAAGGAAAGCCTCGGAGGGAAATTGCCTGCATTACAGAGTCCTCGTAGCTGTCCCCTTGGCCACTGGTTCCACCAGCACCAAACCACCATGTCCTTCACACATTCCCAGCCAACGTCCCAGGACTGTACAAAGCCCAAAATGCCGTGTCATAATCCAAGCGGAAAAATCCCAGCATCCTCCTCTCTCTATGCCAAGTGTACCTCAGGTGGGAGGGAGACACAGATAGAGACAGCCTCTGACTTCCTTTTTCAAACAATCTTCAAAGCAGCAGCAGTAGTCACGGAACCCCGTTTACTTTGAAGGACAAATTATTCATTCTTTGAGCAAAACCAAGTTTCTAACTAGGGAACAAACGGTTTACTTTTAATTATCTTTTTCTCACTAGTTATGTGTTAATGAATTAATTGTTTTAAAATTGTGCTCCCAGAACTAAAAATACAAATAGTGTACTTTTAAGTGAGAGTGTACTCGCTAGTGAAACTTTCTAGAGTTTCTTGACCAAGCCCGTGTCCTCATGTGGTATTATAGTTTGTTTATGGGAAGGACCCCTGATTTTTCCAACTCACATTCTTTATAAAGTTGGAACTTTCTGATGTTTTCCGAAGCCTCACAATTTCTCTTTTCCCACAGAGAGTTGATAGAAGTTGGGTGTGAGGATAAAACACTTGCCTTCAAAATGAAAGGCTACATCTCCAATGCCAACTACTCGGTGAAGAAGTGCATCTTCTTACTCTTCATCAACCGTAAGTGCAGAAGAGCAAATAGGGAGGTCATTCCACGGGAGTTTTAGGGACCCTGGGAAAACTCCCGATCCCGGGTCTGCTTACACACAGGCGACCCTCGTGCTGTGGATAGTAACTAATTTCTGGTCTAAGTGTGCTCATCCCTCTGAGAAGTGCCCAGGAGAGGGCGTGGCAGACCAGCTCACCTTCGTCACCTGCTGGCATTGGGCCTTTCTGAGCAGGCCCTAGGCAGCTCGGTGTTCTCTCCGTAGATGGAGGGCCACTGCTTGAAACTGCTCAGCAGGGCAGAGGGGTAGGCAGTGTTAGTAGAGAAATTGAGTGCTAAGCCCCTGGAGATCTTTCTTGTTAAAGAGTGAGAATTCTTTGTAATGTAAAGCACAGAACTGAAAATGAGGGAGAAAATTAACTCAGGGAATTTGGAGTTTCTCAGATTCCTTTCCCTTTTCATCTCTCTGCTGACTTAGTGTTTACATGATTGCTGCTGATGAAGCCGCCAATATCACTGTGCATTCTGCCTCTTGTCACTTAATTGTATGTTTGTTACATGGTTTTGAGAGATGGGGCAATAGCAAGTAATTCCAAACACGATGTCATTCCGTTTATCTTTTTCTACCCAGAAACAAGATAAATCTTTCCATTTGTTCAGTTCTTTCCATTTTTATCCCATAGGTCCTTTATCTTTAGCATTTGAAGCGATTCATAATTATGTTATAATTTTTGTTTTGTGTGCTTGCTACGGGAAGTGGTATAACACCTCCTTCCATTTATAGTGATAACCAGCGATGAATGTCCCCAGTAATACTTATATGACAGCAGTTGTTCAAAACAGTATATCGTTAGAAACAGGAGAGAGCCAGTATTTTATTTTTTTTTAAATTTTTAAAAAAATATATATTTTATTGATTTTTCACAGAGAGGAAGAGAGAGGGATAGAGAGTTAGAAACATCGATGAGAGAGAATCATCGATCAGCTGCCTCTTGCACACTCCCTACTGAGGATGTGCCCGCAACCAAGGTACATGCCCTTGACCGGAATCGAACCCGGGACCTTTTAGTCCTCAGGCCAACGCTCTATCCACTGAGCCAAACCGGTGCTGGCGAGAGCCAGTATTTTATAGCCACATTCTGTTAAGCTGGTTGGTATTGACAGGGTCTTTTCCAACTTCATTGGGAGGGGGTTAAGCTAGAAGGACTTCTAGCAAGCTTGCTTCCACCAAGACTCAGAAAATGTTTTCATTTGTTGTTTCCTGACCATGAAGAGTAACTGCTCTGTAACATATGTGTTAGCTACCGAACAGACAAGCAAAGGTCCCTGTGAGTGCCATCTGAGTATGCCACGTCCATGCTTCCGGTGGGCCGTTTACCACACAGGCTCTGCGTAACATGAGCTAATCTGGTCTTGCGGCCAAGTTCCCGAAAGCAGAGAGGGGTCAGGCTCTTACTCGGTTGTCTCACACGCTAGGCTCGCTCAGTTGGCGGGACACAGAGCAGCCCTATGGCATGCCTCAAATTCAGAAGGCTCCACAGAGGGCCTCCAGCTGTCCCTCCGTCAGCACCCGCACCTGCTCCAGCCTGTGTGGGCAGGACACGTGAGATGCAGCACAGTGAGGTTATTGAGGGGGATGTCTTGAGCACCCAGAGTATAATTTCTTCCCTGATAAAATCAGGCCATTCTTTTGATTGGGATTAAATTGGCCACTTGTACATACAGCGCTCTAGTAGTGCTGGGTGGGGGGAGGGTAAAGAGAGGGGGAAGTTTACCTGCTCACTGTGTCTCAGCACGAGTCACACGTGACTGGTAGCCAGTGGGTATTGGCAGGATGAGAAGTCTGAGGGCTGACGCCAGACTGCCCACTGCCCAGCCAGGGCACAGGCAGTCCGCGTGGCTGACTGGGGGGAGGGAAGTGGGCAGGCTGGATTCACTGTCATTCTGTGAGAGAGAGACGCCAGGCCCATTGTGAGATGCTGGAAGGAGCCGCAGGGAAAGGGGGCTCTTCCTTCTGGGGGTCTGATGTGGGAGTCACCCCAGAGGTGGTCTTCTCGAGGTGATTTCATGGCGACCTGACCGTTCACCTGTCATCTCACCCTTCAGGATGGTTGTGAGTTGCTTTCTTCTCTTTTATTTTTTAGATCGTCTGGTGGAATCAACTTCCTTAAAAAAAGCCATTGAAACGGTGTATGCAGCATATTTACCCAAAAACACACACCCGTTCCTGTACCTCAGGTAATGTAGCACCAAACTGCCCGCCCACGAGGCAGGAGAAACAGAATTCCATCACGCTGTCCTCTCAAAGAGATGGCTTGCCAACAGCTGCTGGGCGTGAACCCCAAGCCCCACCAGCAAAGGGTGTTCCGTCCCTTCTCACAGTGCAGGGCGCTGTTTTCTTTCCTTTGTTCACTCCCGTAGCAGGATCTCACCGAGAGCCGCCCGTGTGCCAGGCGCTGTGCTGGTAAAACTAATGTGAGTTTGCCTCCTGAGCCAGGCAGAAGTGGCCCCCAACTTGGCAAGGAAACCCCTTCCGCCTCCTGGGGCTCTCCAGTGCCCCCTACTGACAAAGGTTCATATTGCAAAGCTTCATTATCAAAGAGCAAGTGATGAAAGATGGATTTGAAGCTGAGGCATGTTGATAGCTTGCAAATCTCAGCTGATTTTTTTTTTTCTTTTTTAGCGAGTAAGGGAGAGAGAGTGGGAGAGGGAGAGAGAGAGAGAAACAATGATCGGTTGCCTTCTGTATGCACCCCAAATGGGGATTGAACCCACAGCCTGGGAATTGCCCTGTCGGGGAATCAAACAGATAACCCTTCAGTGCACCAACCAGGGCTAAACTGTCTTTTGTATTACATTTAAGTGACAGAAAGTTTTCTCACATATATTCCTGTTTTGATCTTCATGTAATACCAACCAAAAGTAGGGGACAGGTTCATGTTTACAGATGAGAAAACTCACCCAGAGAAGTTAAGTGACTTGCCCCAGGTCACATAATAAAAACTTCCACTAGTTCTGGAATGATAGTAACAGCTGACATGTAGTAAATGTGCCAGTTACATGTGAAATGCTTTATATGAGATTAATCTCCACTAGACAAATGAGGAAGCTGAGATAAAGAAAGACGATGTATCCTGCCCGAAGCTACACAGCTTCTCGTAGTGGAGTCAGCCTGGAACCCAGGTCACTCAGACTTGACCCTGAAGTTTTGACCATTTTGTCATTTGGCCTCAAGACATCTTGCCACCACATATACGACGTATGTAAACCCCTGCCCCCAGTCCTCCACCATATGAGGTAACTGTCTCTCTTTTTGCCAGTCTAGAAATCAGCCCGCAGAATGTGGATGTCAACGTGCACCCCACGAAGCACGAGGTCCACTTCCTGCACGAGGACAGCATCCTGGAGCGGGTGCAGCAGCACGTGGAGAGCAAGCTCCTGGGCTCCAACTCCTCCAGGACCTACTTCACGCAGGCGAGCTGCTGCCACCCCTTTCTCCGCTTTCCTGTGGAATAGTGCGCGTGCTGGATTGGCTGCTTCTTAGTCGTTTAACGTGTCCTAATCCTCCATGTTGCCTATGAAACAGAAACTCTAGAGGCATGATTATATTCAGAGTAAAAAACTTGTTTTGCAGGAATTCTTGGTGGAAGAAGCCATGCACTTCCTATCGCAGCCCAGCAGGAGGTGCACACTGACCTGTTCTGTCATTTGGGTGACCGGCTGGTCAGAGTCTGATTCCTTCGTTGTAAAGCACCTCCCTAATGGTTTCACCATCATGCGTGGCCGTAACCTGAACCACAGTTATTTCATTCGGATTGCAGATTATGATTTCTTGATTTTATCTTTTTTTTTTCTGTTAATTCATTAGAATTATTCTGTGTGGAAGAACTTTCCCTCATTTGTTACAGCTATTTGGTTTTCCTGAAATACAGTTCATACTAGAAAGTAAGGATAAATCTGAATTCTATCCCTTTAATTATCATTTTGCAAAAGAATAAGTTGGTGTCCTAATAATCTCTAATATGACATTTAATGACTTCTCCCTTTTTGTCTCTTCCTATTAATTATGGTTATTTCTCTCTCTATTTTGTTAAAACTTAGCCAATGATATTTTCCCCGTTGATTTTTTAGAGAGAGTGAAAGGCAAGGGGTTAGCTGGGAGAGAGACATTGATGTGAAAGAGACACATGGATTGGTTGCCTCCTGCACATGCCTCAACCAAAGCTGGGGATCAAACCTGCAACACAGATACGTGTCCTTGACCAGGACTCAAACCAGCAACCCTCCAGTGCATGGGCTGATGCTCTAATCACTGAGCCATGCAGGCCAGGGTTCATTTCTCTCTTTGATGTTCACATTATTCCATCTGAGACCAAGGGAAGCCTTCAAGCTGGTGTTCTTATCCTTTTGCCCCATTCCATTCGTCTTTGATAGCTTATTTGTTCCTGGCATGACAAGATATTCTAGGTTCTCTTTCCCAGTCCATTTTGCCAAGGAGGTTTATTTCATTTTAGTAGGGAATGGTATTTAGAGACTGTAATTTGGATCGGGGGTCCTCATTACTCCTGGGTGGTCATTGCTTTGGGCTTTTCTGGACAGAGCGAGGAAATATGTATATTTTTTGGACAGAGCTAGGAAATATGTATATTTAAAAGCAAACAGAATGGTGGTTGCCAGAAGCTGGGGAGCGGGAGAGTTTTGAGTATAAAGAGCACAGGGGTCAGTTTAGAAGGATAAAAAGTCTGAAGATGGCTCTAACCGGTTTGGCTCAGTGGATAGAGCATCAGCCTTCGGACCGAAGGGTCCCAGGTTTGATTCCGGTCAAGGGCATGTACCTTGGTTGCAGGCACATCCCCAGTATGGGGCGTGCAGGAGGCAGCTGATCAATGTTTTTCTCTCATTGATGTTTCTAACTCTATCCCTCTCCCTTCCTCTCTGTAAAAACTCAATTAAAAAAAAAAGTTTGATGATGAATGGTGGTGATGGTCATACAACAGTGTGAATGAATGGTTAATGCCACAGAACTATATATTTAACAAGTTAAGTGGTAAATTTTCTGTTACGTATATTTTACCACAAAAAAAAAAAAAATCCTTTTACGGCAGCAGGAAAAACCTAAAATTATTAGAACTTTTCACTTGATATTTCCATTTTAAGCCAATTTTAAGACTATGAGGATTTGACAAATTTTTGACTTTTATATTTGTATATCTTTATTTTTATATTTCAAACTTCAGTCCGATTTGCTCCTGTAATAGTAATTCTGTCATGAAAACCACACCTGGTTTGAGCTTTTCCCCAGCACTGCTCCGCTCTGGGCCCTGGGCTCCTGGACTAATTTTCCCTCTGTCTTCTCTTTTGTCACAGACGTTACTGCCCAGTCTTGCTGGCCCCTCTGGGGAGGTGGTTAAATCCACAACAGGCGTGGTGCCCTCGTCTGCTTCTGGAAGTGGCGACAAAGTGTATGCCTACCAGATGGTCCGCACTGACTCCCGGGAGCAGAAGCTCGATGCCTTTCTGCAGCCTGCGAGCAGAGTCAGCCAGCCCCAGGCCGCTGTCCCGGAGGACAGCACGGGCCCCGCCGGGGCCAGGCCACAAGACGAGGAAATGCCCGAGCTTCCAGCCCCTGCCGACCTGGCTGCCAAGAGTCAGAGCTCGGAGAGGATCGCAACAAAGGAGACTCCGGAAACTTCAGAGAAGAGAGGGTCCCCCTCCGGCCCGGACAACCCAAGGTATGCCCCTTTAGGGAAAGTGCAACTCGCCTCCTTTGTTCTGTAATAAAACTGCCTCTAACGTGGGCTGTGCATGAACCACTTGTATCTCCTCTCCCCCTCGGCCTTCGATGGGACAGTGCTGGGGCCTTGTCCACTGTCTGCCTTTGACCATGTCTTGAGAGGCACCCATCATAGTGGCCTTGGAATTGTCTTAAATCTCCATGATCCCAGGCATTAGTTAAAAATATCAGGGGGGAAATCAGATTTCCCCCGTAATGTTAGTAATGACTTTTGATAAGGCCTCCGCAGCAGCGGTGGCTAGAAAGAAGCCTAACGTACCTGGAGGATTCTCTTGCGTCCCACTCAGACCCGCTCTCCCTCCTGTCAGAAGAAACACTCTCGGTTCAGGTTAGGAACCTCCCTGAAGCACGTGCGGGCGGTGAGCGAGGGTAGAGAAGGAAGGCAGGACCGGGACTAATGACTGCCATTGCATTTTGAGCATTTCCAGTACAATCTGCAGCTTCCTGAAAGAAACCACGCTGAAGTCTGTGAGGTGGATAGTCATTGTTTGTGTTCAGGCACTGAACCCGGAGCTCAGGGTCATCTGCCCAAGGCCCACATCCACTGGGGGGCCGACCCCCAGAGCTCTGGTACCAACCGGCCATTGGAACTTGGATAAATTCTTTAACTCCTGTTTGCTCATTTCTGAGTCAGTCTAGTGAGACTGTGTCTAAGGGTCCCCCCCCCCCCCCCCCCGAGAATAATGAAGGATGCTAACTTTTATTGAGCACCCACTTTACATACATTATCTCATTTCATGCTTTTATAGCCCTGCCAGGGAAGTATTCCATTTCTGTTTATTACTTGGGAAGCTAATACCACAAGCTGTTTAACCACACAGCAAAGGAAATCTTTTAAAACCGAAAGTCAGATTGGATTGTCCCCTGCTGAGAAGCAGTGGCTTCCTGTTGCCCATTGGATCAAACCCCTGCCCTCCCTCCGGCCCACCACTTCCCTCTCCCGCGCGGTGTCTGGCCACACAGCTCGGGTGCGACCTGCGCTTGCAGAGCTTCGCCCCCCTGCGCTCTCACTGTTCCCTCGGCCGAGGAAGACTGGCTTCCCGTCAGTCAGATCTCCACTCACATGTCGCCTCTTATCAGAGGCCTTCCTTGTCCATTTAACCTCAAGTTTAAAGTTCTCTCTCTCTCACTTCCCCATCATTCTATGATGTTCCCTTGTTTTATTGTCTTCATAGCATTTGCTGCTACTTAAAATGATTTCTTTTCCATTGCCATTTGACTGCCACTAGAAAGCAAGGGTCGTGATGGCAGCCCCCTTGTCGGTCATGTTCATGGCTGGGTGTAGCCGGTTAATAACATTGTCTGATGGGAGATAAACGGTGTAGTCGGTTAATAACATTGTCTGATGGGAGATAAACGGAGCGCTGAATGAAAGACTTGGGAAGGCCAGCCCACCTGTGGCTCTGCAGGGCCACACTAGACCCCAGATGCCTGCTGCATGGAGGCCCGGGCTGGGCCCTGAGGGTTGGCAGAGAAGCAGCCGAACAGACTGGCCTTGCTGGCCTGCCGCCGGGATCCCTCCCAGGTGTGCAGAGCCAGCACAGAGAAGCTGCCCCTTCTCCAAGACGCAGGACATCAATTGGGCTGATCTATTAGTATTTTTTTAATTTAGAAAGAAGAGGAGTGATCTGCCAGTTCCTTATCTCATTGCAGAAAGAGACACCGGGAAGGCTCCGATGTGGAGATGGTGGAAGATGAGTCCCGGAAGGAAATGACGGCAGCCTGCACCCCCCGGAGAAGGATCATCAACCTCACCAGTGTTCTGAGTCTCCGGGAAGAGATTAACGAGCGGGGCCATGAGAGTACGTAAGTGCCGTGTCTGTCGGCGTCTCAGAGGGCCGGGCCGCTCACGGCTGGTGTTTGGAAAGACGGAACGTATTCAGGTTAGACGGCCACGGCTGTTCTGACTCAGGGGCCTCTGACATTTTCAGGTTTGAGAGAAGCCAGGATGGCCTCCGTTTGCCTTTCTTATTTGCTCCCTCCTTTCCCAACCCTCGGGCTTTTGCCTGCCTGTGGGGGAAATCTAGGCTTCTCCATTGCTAGAGGGTAAGAGCTTCCTGTGAAGGTCTCGCCAGTTGTGGAAGTGGCTGCCACTTGGCTTCTGCTGTTTGTTTCCATGAAGATGTGCTCTGGTGGCTCTTTCCCTGTTTCTGGCTTCCCAGCTGGGAGCCCGTCAAACCACTTTCAATAATGTCAGAACGGTGGCTGTTCCTGATGTTCTTAGCAGTTTTCCTGCGGGTGATTTTAATGGGCTCCCTCCAATCTGGAATTTGCAGCTTTCTTTAAGGGTTTGTATCTCTGGTGCGAAGCAGGCTATTTAAAGTTCAGTTTCAGTACATTTCCGAATGGGTGCAAACTGTTTTCAGTGCGGTGTAAAAACAACATGCGTCAGGTTTGATGTGGTTCGGAGTCCGTTGCTGAGGCTGAGGTGATGAATCTGAATACTTAAGGTTGTGGGTTCCTGCACATCATCGCCTGTAAGTCTGGAGTAGTCTGATGAGGGGAAGCTGGTTGACTTCGAGGCGATGCTGTACAGAGGTTTCTGGGAAGCTTGGATTTGGTGAGCGAGGCCCCTCATCTTCAAGGAGCTGTGCCTGCCCAGGAGAGACGCAGATCCCTTTCCCCGTGACCTCATTCCGGTCGCACTGTTCGGGAGGCTGTCTCAGCAGGGCAGGGGCTGTGCAGGGGTCTCATCCTTGGTGCCGGCAGAGAGCCGGGCACGGGGACTCAGTAGGCATTTGCCAACGGAGTGAATGAATGAGCAGAGCGGCCTGGGAGTGAAGCCTGAGTTTCTATTCTGAAATGATGTCCACGTTGAACGCCCATCAGACAACTCCCTGGTGTCTGGTGGGTTTACCCATTTCTGGTGTCACATTCGTCATATGAGGTCATTTTTTGGCCCCGTATCCAGTGACATGTTCCACCGGTTTGGGCCCATTTCCGGGTAGTAATGCCTGCACTTATGTACTGCTGGTTCCATCATTCCAGTCTATAAATTAATGAGGACATGAGTGTCCTACGTTATTTGCTTTCATTTGAATGTGAAAGTGTGCTTAACATCTTATCCACAATTTTCTTTTATTTTCTTGGTCTTTGGTGAAAGTCCTGGGTCTAAATGTACATGTTCATGTTGTCTGTCCCCGGATGAGTTTCTCTGGTAATGAAATCAGCCAGCAGACACCTGTCAAGTGTCTTCTCGGTACAGAATGTGCCAGGCCAAGGCCTGAGGCAGGGAGGGAGCTGAGTGAACCACGGGCCTTGCCACGGTGCTGTGGGACCGCTCACAGAGAACGGTGGCAGCTGAGGAAGAGGGACAGACCCTGTCACAGCGCCCAGGCAGAGGGCCACAGGGTGGGCTCAGAATGTGCCTGATGTCGGGGCTGCTCCCGCCCTGCACGGCCCTCGGGAGCTGAGGACCGGCCCCCTTCCCTGGCTTGGCTTCACTTGCTGCTCCAGGAAGCATGCTGAGACCAAGGCCTACATTGTGCACTCAGATGTGTGGTTTGGCTTGGAAGCGTAAAGGGATTTTGTCCCGTTTGGCTGCTGGAGGAACGGCAGGGACATGCCCACAGGCTTCTGTGCTCTGGGGAGTTTGGGGGAAGAATAAATGGAGGCCCTTCAGGTCCTGCGAAGAGGCTGTGAGGGGTCCAAGTAGCCTCAGGGCACCAGTTGGAAGAGCCTGCCTGTCTTCCTGGTGGATTGGTGCCTGCCGGGAAGCGGCCTGGGTGCTGGCAGGGCCTGCATTAGCGTGTGGGAACCGTTGCCTCCTGCCCCGCACGTTCTCTCCTCAGAGCCTCATCCGTCAGGACCGTTTGATGTTCTCCAGCTTTTAAAATAATCATTTTCTGCCCACGCAGAACATCCTGCAGAGACGCTGAGTTGCCAGTGGGAACAGAGGGGAACACTTATTCTAAAAATGAAGAAAACAAGCTTTTTTTTTTTTTTTTTTTTTTAATGGGGAGCAGGGAGTGTTGCAGAACTTATATAACAACAGCTGTGGTGCCCGAGCTTTTAAAAAAAGCATAGTAAAGACGTGAGGTACAGGCTTACTGCTGTTTCCACACCCTTGCCTTTGGGCTCCAGCCCCTCTTCCTCCAGCATTTAATATATATATATTAAGTGCAAAATCATATTTATAAACTATAGGTAGGATCTACAGAAGAAAACAAATGAGTTCATGCTTAATGAAACAGAACATACCATCACCTTTGAAGCTCTTATATCTTTCTTCCTGTCCCATCCCTTGTCCTCCTCCCTTGGAGTAACCATGACCCTAAATTTTATTGTTATTTTCTTCCTTTTTGTTCTAGTTTTATCACCCATATTTGTAGCCCTAAAAAAACCCCTACTTTTATAAGTTGTTTTTTTTTTTATAAAGTTCTTTGGTTGTTATTTATTTATTTTTTAAATATATTTTATTGATTTTACACAGAGAGGAATTGAGAGGGATAGAGAGAAACGTTGATGAGGGAGAAACATCGATCAGCTGCCTCCTGCACCTCCCTCTCCCCCCACTGGGGATGCGTCCGCAAACAAGGTATGCACCCTTGACCGGAATCGAACCCGGGACCCTTCAGTCTGCAGGCCGACGCTCCATCCACTGATCCAAACCGGTTTCGGCTACTTTCATAAGTTGTAAGCTTTATATAAACACACTGTATTTTAATGATAGAAATATATCTATATACATATGTTCCTAAAATTCATCCCTCTTGTTATGTATGTATGCTCTGGTTTACATTGGCTGTAATGGATTCCGCTTCATGACTATGCTGCATGCTTCCATATTTGTTAGAGGACTCACATGGCCTCTTCTTTGCCTCTCACACCCCATTCCTGAGAGGACGCAGAACTAGGCACCCGGTTGGGAAGCTCTGCTGTGGGGCATCTACTGAGGAGAGTTACTGCCGGGCCATAAGAGACAGTTGTTTTCCAAAGGGATGGGGTGAATGTCCAGTCCCCCCAACAATGTGAAGAAGTTGCATTTGCTCCACTTTCCTCCAGTGTCTGACCTGGTATCTGACGGTTCTATTTACGTTTCCTTAGTTACTGAGGAAGTTAAGGAAGTATATTTCCTCTTCTGTTAGGCCTGTTTGGTCTCTAACCCATTTTTCTGTTGCGTTTTGGTCTTTTCTGATTTTAGGAGTCCTTTATATATTCTAGATAGTAACCAGATACATGGAATTATCTTCCTCCCCCTCATTCAGGGCTCATCTGGTATTTTTTTCTTATGAACACTTCTTTTATGAACAGAAATTCATAGATTTAATGTAGACAGATTTTATGAATTGTGCTTTACAGATTGGCTCTTTTATCTTATGAAGGAAATTATTCCTAATTCTGAGATAATTAAATACATACTCTCCTAAAAATGCTTATACCTAAATCTCATTCCATCTGGAATTCATCTTTGGTATATGGCATTAGATTCATATTATTGTCAATGTGTTTGGGTTTAGCAAATACTATTTGCTCATAATTCTTTCTTTCTGCCCTTTTATAATCTGCCCTAAGCACATCCTTCAGTGGGGCCTTTGGTAACGGAGTTTTGCTTTGTCTAACTCATCCTTCTTTTGAAAAGGTTGTCTGTGTTTTGCTTGGTTTAAAATTCAAGATTATAAATTATTATTATTATTTTTTAGTGCATTGAAGATGTTATTCTACCATTTCTTGGTTATTGGTGTTGCTGTTGAAAATTCAGCCATCAGTCTTATATTTTATTACTCTCTGGGTAATCTCTGTTTTGTCTTTGCTCTTAGTATCTTTCTCAGCATCTCCGTGTGCCAGGTGTGGATTTTGTCGTGCCTTGTGGAACTGAGACTTGGTGTCTTGCATCCATTCTGTTTTCTACCTTTGTCTCTCTGTGCTCATTCTAGATAATTTCTTTAAATTGGCTTTCTAGTTAATTACCTTGCCAACTTTGTCTAATCTGTTCTTAAGTCTGTCTTGATTTTTAATTTCAATTATTTTTTATTTTTAGACATTTTATTTAGTTCTTTTGGAAACCTCATTGATCATTTTGATACTCCTGCTTTTTCTGTTCTGATACCTCTTTACTAAACATACTTATTTTATCTTCTTTGCTGATATTTCCAGTCTCTGAAACCTTTGCAGGCAAGATTCTGTGATTTCTTCTGGATTCTAAATCTTTGAGTTTTGTAACTCCTGAGTGTTAGTTCCTGGTACTTTATCTGTAAGGAACTATTTGAAGCCTGGATTGGAGATCGATTTCCCCGGAGAAATTTGCATTTGATTCTACCAGGGACCTGGAAGAACAGTCAGCCCTGGAATCTCTTGAAACTAAAACCTGCACCCAAGGTTTTCCCATACCTGCTTTGTGGTGACCAGCTTATGGTTATAAATTCTCAGGGATGTAATCTTTTCTTCACTCCCAACAGCAAGGCTTGAGGCAATGGGCACTTTGCTTCCTGCCCTTTGAGAGGGCGAGGAGTGGACATGCCGGTACTTCTTTCCCTTCACACGCGGGTGCAGCCTTTGGGGTCTCAGCCTCACGTGTTGGGGAAGTGAACTCCTGCTAGGCTCTGTCCTCCTTTCTCCACACCTCAGCGCCTGCGGAAACGAGAGCTCACCACTCACGGGGACCCTCCGGTGCCTTTGGATGAAGCGGGCTCGGGGCTCTTGTCACTTCTCTACTTCCTGCTGTCTCAGATTGTGATCTTTGATTATCTCTGAATCCATTGGCAATTCCGCATTGCATTCTGAAAGATTGGTTATTAATTTTATTCCTCATTTGTGTTCGTTTTCGGCAAGAGGTTCAGTTCGGGCATCTTGACTTACCTGTCTCCAGTTCGGGCTGGGTGCTTTGGCCTTTGGCGGAGTTGGTGGGATGGCACCTCTTACCTGCGCTTTGTTTTCCAGCCCTGCAGGAGATGCTGCACAACCACTCCTTTGTGGGCTGTGTGAACCCGCAGTGGGCCTTGGCACAGCACCAGACCAAGCTATACCTTCTCAACACCACCAAGCTGAGGTACGGCAGTGAGCAGTGAAGGGAGCAGAGCTCCTGAGAGAAAGGTCCTGGGGGCGCAGGCACACAACGCCAGGGAGAGCAGCGGCTTGGCATAGTTGGAAAGGCCCAGGATTTAAAGTCAGACAGACGTGGCTTCAAATCCAGACTTAGCCATTTACCACTGATGTGACGGTGGGCAAGTTTCTTTCCAAAACTTCGCCACAGAATTCTCATCTGTAAATTGGGATGAACTTGCAGGGGTTTGTGTATAAGAAATGACCTGAGAAGCCTGATAGCTCTCTGGATGTTGGCTGCTGAGACCCAGGTGTTGAAGGCAGTGCTGGAAAGGAAGTCTGGCATCTGCTGTGATGGAGATGTAAAGGAAAGCAGGCCGGATGGCTCCATCCTTCCAGCGTTGGTAACGTGGCGAAGGCTACAGTCACCACCCAATAAGCCAGGGGGTTGAGCACAGAGAGGATGATCCCAGCAGAGCCATTTGCTCAGTGCAGAGCCAGCAACATCTGTACGGATTGTTCCCAGGGACCTTGATGGATGAGCTCCTGTTGAGTCTAGAATTGTTTAAATAAATACGTTGTCATATCGGTGGTACAGAGGGGAGGGTGCTGTCACCTGCTACCCGGCATCACTGGTCTACTGTGGGGCCCCTTCCCACCACGCCTGCTGTGGTCTCACAGTGCTGCTAGGCCTGTGGGTGGGGCGGCCACTCTATGTTGCTTGGAGTTGCCACATGAGGTTTGATGGTCATAACCCAGAAACTGCCCCAGGCCAGAGCTCACTGTGGGCCACATTCCTCCTCCATATGGGAACTCACTCCTCCTGGGCGTGGAAACCCTCAGGCACAGCGCTCTTTAGCTCGTCTTTGCTGGGAGCTGCTTGTGGGGCTTGTCCAGAGGCCTGGCTCTTATTAATTTGTTGGGAATTTTACTTCCTTTGTTTGTCCTTTCCCAACATGTCTAAGTGCATGATTCCCAGGCTCCAGATCACACCTGTGTTCAGGTTCTTTCAGATACAGATCCAGGGTGTCAAAGGCGGGTGGGGATGGCATGGGTGATAGAAGCCAGGCTTGGTCTTAGCGTGTGTGTGTGTGTGTGTGTGTGTGTGTGTGTGTGTGGAGGCCCGCCGGCCAAAGCCCTGGCCGCAGCGCACATTGGAATCCCAGCTCTGGAGGGAAAGACCTTGGTAGATGGTTAACAAGGTTCCCCAGCAAGGCAGAACCACCTGTGTCCCCGCCAGGTTTCAAGGGCTAATTCTCCTTTGTCCCTACCCCTTGGCTCTCAAGCATGGATTCAGCTTTTCCTTAAAGTCACTTCATTTTTATTTTCAGTGAAGAACTGTTCTACCAGATACTCATATATGACTTTGCCAATTTTGGTGTCCTGAGGTTATCGGTGAGTTTTTTTCCTGAAATTTCAACTGATCATTTCTGAAAATACTTTCACCCTTATCTTATTTGTGATGTGGTAAATTTTTCTAAATATGCTTAGAAGAGGTTTTGTATTGTACCTTTTGTATATGGAGGTATCTTCAATTATAATACAGATTTATACCAAGAATAGTAATTTGGTAGCCAACTTAAATGTTTATTATTATAGAAATTAATATAGCTACTTAAGAAAAGTTGGAGATAAAAATAGAAATAAACGTTTTCTAAAGCCTATGACCTAAACACAACCCCAAATGACAATTTTAGTCATTTCTTCCAGGATATTTTCATTGCCTAAGTTTAGACTTAAAATCAGACTACATATCTTCTTTTTACATGTGACATACTCTAAAAAAAAAAAAAAAAAAAAAAAAAAAAGCCTTCTAGAAATTTTTATTAGGTTTGTCCCTTAGTATTTGATGCTATTGTAAATGGCATTTTTAAGAAATCCCAATTGTTTTTTGCTATATATAGCAAAGGAACTTGTCCATTTAAGTTTTTTAATTTATTGGCGTGAAATTGTTCATACTTTTTATTCTTTTTCAATTTTATTGATCTCAAATACTTACTTTTGGCTTCATTAACTTTTCTCTATGTCTCTGATTTTTATTTCATTGACATTTGTTCTGATATTTATTTAATGAGATCTTTTATGGCCCAATATATGGCCTATGTTAGTAAATGTTCCATGTACATTTGAAAAGAATTTGTATTATTGAGTAGAACGTTCCTTATAAAGGGCATGTACATCAAGTTGATAGTGATGCTCACATCTTTTGGATGGTGGCTTTTTCTACTTGTTCTGCCATTTATTGAGGAAGAAGTATTGAAACCTCTAACTGTAATTGTGAATTTGTCTGTTTCTCTTTGTAGTTCTGTTAGTTTTATCCTTTATATTTTAAAGCTATTATTGATTGTATAAACATTTAGGATTGTTAGGTCCTTTTGATTGAATCCTCTTTTGTTATATAAAAATAAGAGCAGTGTACTGTGGGTTTATAACATGTAAGAGCAAAATGTATGACCACAGAAAGGGAGAAATGGAGGGAAATTGAGGCATTTTATTTTTAACGGTAGATTTCAGTCTTTCTAATCAGGTGATTGACCTGAAATGTCATTTGATTTAACTAATTCACCCTCCCCATAGCTTCAGTTATGGGTAAGGCAGTAGTAGAAAGACAAAATTTACTTAGTGATTTGCTGAAATATGGAAGTGGTGTCCTTAAAGCTACACAGAAGCAAAGTGCCTCTTCACCGTCCCACCTTGCCCATCTGTTCAGGAGGCTCTTTGTGTGGCACATCTCTTGTTGAAATGGCCAGAGAGGAGGAGGAGGAGGAGGAAGAGAAGGAGGAGAAGGAGGAGGTTTTATTGTGAATATTTTTTTCCTGGGAATGAGTGTTAGATTTGTGGGTTCTCACCTCCTGTTGTGATCATGGTTTTGTGGGAATTCGCGCTTCATTTGGATGTGCTCACACTTGCTCCTTCCTCCTCTTGCTCCTTCCTAGGAGCCAGCCCCGCTCTTTGACCTTGCCATGCTCGCTTTGGACAGCCCCGAGAGTGGCTGGACAGAGGAAGATGGTCCCAAAGAAGGACTTGCCGAATACATTGTGGAGTTCCTGAAAAGGAAGACTGAGATGCTTGCAGACTACTTCTCTTTGGAAATTGACGAGGTGCGTGGTGGCTATATTTACGTCTCTGTAGTGTTCTTCAGACGAGTTTTGTATTTGGTCCAAAATCAGGCTGAGACTCGGCATCTGCATTTCTGGGTTAGACAAGTTTTTCATTCACTCATGGCCATTCTTGTTCCCAGGATGGAGGGCCCTGGCATGAGGGAGGCTGCGTCCCAGTCCCTGCAGGCCAGGGAACCAGCCACCTGCTCTCAGTTTCTTCCTTTCTCCTTGATCTTTGGGACTCTGCTTCTTGATATGCTCTTTGGTTGATCCAAAGAAAAGGTTGTTCTGCTACATGTCAGGACAGAAAGCTCTCTTGTGTTTAGATCTCCTGGCCTTCGTGCCCAGCCAAGTCAAGCACATGGTCACCGGAATCACAGATGTGAGGACAACAGCTGGAGGAAATGGGATTGGTTTAAATCACACTGTAATAGCAGTATTTCTTTTCCCCCTGACCTGGTCTTTTTTACCACAAGCAGGAAGGGAACCTGGTTGGATTACCCCTTCTGATCGACAACTATGTGCCCCCGTTGGAAGGTCTACCGATTTTCATTCTTCGACTCGCCACTGAGGCAAGTGATTGAGCCAGTTCTGAAGTAGGTGGGCACGTGAGTGTGCTGGGGGAGAGGGCACAAGCCCACCCACATTCGAAATGCTAAAGGTGAAAAGAGTGAAACAGCTAAAGGCCCTTCTCCTCCTCACCTACCCCAGCAGGATTCAGCAATTCCCATTTACCGCTTTTAACGTCTAAAAGGTCACATTCATTTTAACGTCATTGGTGATCTCCGCTTAACAATGAAGTGTGTTTAAAGCACAGATTGATGTTAAGGTATTGAATTCTTTTTGGACCAGGTGAACTGGGACGAAGAAAAGGAATGTTTCGAAAGCCTCAGTAGAGAATGTGCTATGTTTTACTCCATCCGGAAGCAGTATATATCCGAGGAGTCGACCCTCTCAGGCCAACAGGTACTGTGGTGATGCTGCTGGCAGCCCAGGACTGGGATGGGCCCTTGTACTACCTTTAGGAGAGGAAAGTTGCTCATCTCTAAAATTCCTAGGATTTCATTGCACATAAGGACACAATGGTCAGCTTTTATTCATGAATTTTATTCTCTTCCGCTGGCCTAGAAGGTACCTCCAGAGTGATCTTACTGTGAAATATAAAATCAGCCAACTCAGGGAGAGATGGGAGGTTGAGTTAGATTGTCCAGGACAAGTGGGTCCATATCCCCCATTGTTAGCAGAGTCTGGACCCTCCCCTGCCTCTTTTAGCTTTTGCCTTACTGTGCATCTGACCGCTGCTTTGCCAGGAAGGCAAGGCTGTACTGAGGTCAGGTCCGCAGCTCTTCTTACGGAAGGTCAGCTTAATAGAAAAATGGCCGAGGTACCTCATGTTTCTGTGTCACTATTTCCAGTCCAGTGAGAATGCTTCCCAGTCAGCAACTATTTTGGAGAGGTTGGGTGGGTGGGGCAGTGGGGTTGAAATGGTCTGAGAATCAAGGGTAGGGCAGCAGCTTTCCACGATACATGACCATCCTTGGTGATTACTTAGTCATCTTCAGGGGAAGCCACACACTCCAGTTTCGTAGGGAGGAAACTAGGGGACAGTAGGCATGCTCGAGGGTTCCAAGCCTATAGGTATTGAGTAGCGATTCATTCTGTTGCCAAAGCCCCAAGGGAATAAATATCTCATTGCAGTGAAGGCGGTAAGATAACACACTTACCAAACTGTGCTGAGTATTTCATTGGATAGGAAAAACATATTTCAATGAAGAATGGATGAGAAAACATTTCCTTTTACATGAAATAGTTATGGCTCAGTAGGAGAGGGACGATGGAGCAAAATAATCCCCATTATATTTAATTTCATTCTCTGTGGAGCTTCTAGGAAAACAGGGCTACATTGAGACCCCCAAATTTAGTGGTGAATTAGAGATTTACTTTCTACTATTGCTGCCCAAACAGCATAGTCAGGATCAGACATTATGTTAGATCCTGCCACAGTAACACATTCCCCCTAGATGGAAACAAAGGCTCCCAGGGAAAGAGCCTCATGAGGGTCTGGCTTCATTCCCCATCTCCTCTCAGGTTCAGACCCATAAGATCTGAGAGGCTAGCATACATGCTTCATGACCACCAGGTAACAGCCCGTTACAAAGAAACAAGACTTTGCTGGTCCGGGGCAGGTCCGCTAGGAAGCCAGGATGCAACCGGGGAGACCTGACACCTAACGTCTTTTCCAGACGGAAGCGCCGGGCTCCGCTCCAAACCCGTGGAAGTGGACTGTGGAACACGTCGTGTATAAGGCCTTCCGCTCACACCTCCTGCCTCCCAAGCACTTCACAGAAGACGGGAACGTCCTACAGCTTGCTAACCTGCCCGATCTGTACAAGGTCTTTGAGAGATGTTAAACACGGTCACTTACGGACACTGGGTGTGCCGTTCTTCCTCTGAGCCCTGGTGCAGCAGGTCCTAAGGCCGAAGACTCACATTTGCCTTCTGAATAGTAGCACTCCTGCTGCTTGGTGAATCCACTATAAATAAATGTCAGATGTGTCCTAAGAGTTCTTAAAGTTTCTCTATAATGATTTTCACCTAGTATATACCTGGTAGTGTTAAAGAATCTCAAAAGCAATTTGAAAGCCCCCTGGACATCTGCTAAGAATTCTAAAGAAGCCTTGAAGATTTCATAGATCATGCTTTGATTCGATTTTTTATAATGTCAGGTGACAGATACTATATGTTAGTTCAGGTACCATTTAAAAAGGTCCTAAATATATTAAAGGCTCTGATGACAGTCTATTGAGAAAGATGAATTGATAATCTATTAGTACCTTCAATAACCAAAGAATTAATTGATTCTTAATTTTAAATAAGTTTGAGAAAATACTCCTTATCCAGGAGTACTATTCATCCTGTAACTGGTATGAATTCTTAAGGAAGCCCACTTTGTTAATGACTAGGACTATTACCAGCTTAAGATGATTAAAGTTCTAGGTGGTATTGTTTGAAGGATGATGTAAAATTACAAACTATAAGTGCATTAAAATAAGCTACTTTCATATTAACCTGCATTTATAAAAATGTGCAGTCCCCACAGGGAGGAAAAATGCCTGTATTTCTTAGGTAAAACCCATATTCCAAGACTCAATGAAGAAAGTTATGTTAGAAAGAACAGAAAACCATCTTATGAAGAAGTGGAGCCATTTCATGTGGAAAAGATGGACGACAGACAGATCAAGTTGAACGCTTGGAACCCTCACTTCTGAGAGTCCATGAGCCTGGGAGGCACACAGGCGGAGTGGCCGTGGTGCAGAGGAAGCGCTGGACCACCGTCTGTTTCCAAGACTGCCAGAGCCGGGCCTTGTCTGTCGGTTCCAGCTGTGGGATTCTCGGATAAATCTGCTTTTGAGAACATCCCTCCCCAACTAGGAAATCCTCTCAGTTCAGGAGACGGGTTTCCATATCTTAAAAATAAAGGGCTAATTAAACAATAATGTATTAACATCTGAGTACCCTTTATTACCTAGTTTCAGGTCTGATTTGATTCTCATTAGATCCAGGCTTCATTAGACTTTCCCTGATACTTTTTTTGTGTAAACACACTAAAGATGTAGTAATCATTTCCATAAGACCACCTTGGTTCTGAGAGCAAGAGAATCACAAATCCTATAAAATGGCTACACTTGATGATAGTACCTTTAAAAATGAAACTGCAGTTCTTTTAAAAAGACAAAGTTCTTCATTTCAGAGCTTTCCTTAGGAAGGAGGGGAAAAGAAGAGGGGCAAGGTAAGGCAGAGTTGCCATGGTTTGTTTTAAAGGCTCCTCTAACAAAATGAATGTGTCAGTAGCCAATTGTAGTCAGCCAAAGGGTGTGTTTAATAGACTCTCCAGGCAGGTGTCCCACCTGCCTATCCCCCCCCACCCCCCCCAAATTGGGTTTGTCTGAGGTTTCATTCCACAAAGCAGCAGCAGATGAAATACCTTAAAAGATACAGCACAGTTGATGTTGAAGACTAAAGACCCTACTCTTACTTTAAGAGTATTAGACCTTGGATTTCCCTGCCCCATGCAATAAAGCAAGTTTTATATACACTCCCCATATCTTTTTCTAACATTTTCTTATATAAATTTAAATATTTTACAAAAAAGGCTTTTTTTCTCCAAACATATAAATTTTAGTGAAACATATATTCCCCACCTGTGAACTTGTTTTTTCACTAAAATATAAATGCTATCGGACATGAGGCTACATGTCTTTGACCACTCTAGATCACTGAAGTCTGGATTGCACTGTGGAGAAGGCACTTGTGTTTTCTCTGAGGTCTCCGGCAAGTAGCTCAGGGAGCACTCAGAATCGCTGTCCTCCCAGCCTGGGCCGAGGCCACCAAGTGCCCAGTCACTGAGGCAGCTGGGGACAAATGGTGGGTAAACTTGAAGCTAAAATTACGGATGTAAAAAACCAAAATAAAAATAGCATGGACCAGTTCTTAGTCTAGAATTAAACTACAAACAAAATCCAAAGTGTTCATTCATGAAGATTCAAACCTATTTCATTCTCTCATAAATTATAAAATACAAGGGTGGCTATATTAACGACAAAACTCAAACAGTACTGAGAGGGGTTTGTCAGTGGGCAGAAGTCCGTCCCGCTGGGTGGGGCCCAGAACGCCCAGGTCGGTGGTGGCCGCCCTATTGCTGGGCCAGAAGTGCTGTCCTGTTGGCCTTCATCTTCTCCAGCCGCTTGGCCAGGTGGCTGTTGGTCATCTCCACTTCCTCGATCTTGTCCAGGGCTGTTCGTAACTAGAGACAGGAGAGCTTGGTCACTTACGGGGTCAGAAACAAAACCAAGTGCCACCTTATTTTCAACTTTGCGGGACGTGGACGCACTGCTGGCTGATGGGGATCCTTGCATAGGATCCCGCAGCCTACTTTTGTTTTCAATCAGCCACTCGTAAACAGTGACGCTGAGTATTAGTCACAGGCAGGACCTACCGACGTTGGAGAAATAGACCTGACCTAAAAAATAAAGTATTCCTTTTCTTATGTAACTGAACAAAACATAAAATGGCAGTCACTGTGTGGGCCAACCACCGACACAGAGTATGAGAGTCCACTGCCGTTTCCTTCAGATTGGACCCAGGATTAAATTCCTTACACAACAAACAAAGAATTTACTTCCCAAGGATATTTTCCTTTTAGGAATGTTTTCCAGAAAGCATATTTTAAAAAAGTACCTCTCGTTGTAGCTTCCTTTTTTCTGCTTTCAGTTCGTCTTCCACTTTCTCGGCGTTCTCAGCAGCAGTCTTATATCTCAGCACCTGTCCCTCCAGCCGGCTAATCTGTGAATATGAGAACACAGCCTCTGGGACTGAGCACTAGGAGCCATCACTTTTTTGCAGCCAGGATGGAAATGCAATGTTATTAGAACTCTAAGTAATCTAACACTAACAAGTCCCCTTAGGGTGAGTCATAGGTCCTCTCAGAACCCAAATGCTATTTATAAATAAAGAAATGTCCCCAAAGGATTACAGCTGTAGAGTCATTATAGGCCAATTTCCCATGTTAAGTTTTATGATGACCATAGTGTTTAAGTGCCAAAGTAACATCACAGAAGGAGACTCACTGAATGGAAAAGTTTTTGGACCTTTGAAATGTGCAATAAAGCATTTTGTTATAAACTATGATCTCTCTGGATTCTCATGAAATATCTACAACTAGAATCACAGCTACAGTTTTCGGTATTTTTACAGGAAACAGAAGGCGGATGTGCCCTGCCAGATGCTCTCCGCTGGCTTTCCCATTTTAATAGAGAGCTTTTCCAGAGATCCAAGTGTAAAGGCAGCCCAGAGGCATCCATGGGTTAGCCCTTCAAATGCAGGAGGCAGGTGTGTTTTAAGGGAATTTAAATCATTTGGCACCATTAGACGTACTTACACTTTGCTCCAAGGTGGTTATATCCTGTTCTGCTTTTGAAAGCTTAAACTTGTATTCACTAATTTGTCTATTAGCATCTCCTAGAACAGAAGAGAATAATCAGTCTCCTCTGAGAGGTGAAGGTGTGACCCTCCTGGCAATGATGCCCTCTGCAGCACAGGAGAGGACCGTGCGGTCTAAGAAGACAAAACAAATGCCCACAGAGCGACCATGGCACCTCCGGCAACCCAGCCCCTGGAAGTGTGGACACTACAGAAGCTCTAGCACTTGTGTCACAACAGTCTCCCTGGGATCGGAGTTAGAGGAAATTCACTCTTCGCCCATTGATGTGAGTAGGTAGAGCGCTGAGCAAGTAGCCCTGTTAGCCAGCTTCTCTGCAGCCCCATGGCCCAGGGAGCCTCGGTGCTCACAGGCCTAGGCCCTCCACTTTCCTGGACCCCAGCCCTGAACCTTCCCACCGCCATCCTGCTCCCCCATACCTCAAGTGCCCCTTGTTCCCCCGAGATTTAAGTCTTAACCAACCTCCAAGGTTATGCTCAATTTTCACCTCCTGTATGACTCTCCTAAATTAACCATAACTTCTCTTGCTCTTGTTGCATTCTCCCTGAGTTCTTTTATAATAGTTATCATGTTTTCTTAACATTTATTTGTAAGGAGAGAGGCCCTGTCTGTCCTTGAATTCACCTCTGTATTTAGCCAAATGCTTTGCACACCATGTATGCTTAATAAATATTTGCTGAAACAAATGCTTTTCGATAACATATGATAATGTGGTATGGGTAGAGCTATATAAATCAGTAGCTATACATTTGACCTAATAAATAAATCATTTAATAAAAAGTTTATAAGTGATGGGGGAAGAGAGAATCCCTTCAACAAGCCAGATTTAATAAAAATCTCCCTCTGAAAAAATTATAGGATAAGAATTAAAAGGCTTATAGGAGAAAACCAAATATAATCTACCTAACTCAAGAACTTTTGTGCTGTTCCACATAGTTAAAGTTATAACTTCCTGTATCTCCTCAATGCAAACAGCTGTTCTGAGTGGACAGTTACTGTCACCTTAAAAGTAACGGGGTCATAAAACCCTCTCCCAAAAAGCCACCCCTGGGAGTCAGACAGAACAATCCCTATTCCTGGGCTCTAAAACAGAAGCTTCACGATCTAGTTTTTTAATCCTTCACCCAGCAATTTGTTATCAAAATGTGCTGTGTCCTTCTCACTCTCCAAACCACCCATTCCTTCCTGTTTTCAAAAGCCTAACTCTGTCGTCTCAGCCATTTCATCTGTTTTGAAATTCCATTCCACAACACCATGCTTTACAGCCAAGGCACTGTCCAGACCCAAGAGTCACAGGGTCCCTTTCCTGGTTTTCTGGTGCAAGAGTGGGGCCTACTTTTGTCTTCTCCAGCCAGGCCCAGCCTGCCCATCCTGCTCAGCTCACCTCCAAGTACAGCTGAGGTGGCACTTCTCCCCACCTTCTGTAAATACCTGTGACCGCCAACCCACACTAGGACTCATTCACACATAAGTCTAGCCCATCCCCCTCAGGATGATTCCTCTTGATTTTGCTGTTTTAGGCCAATCTCTTCCAAATCTATTCCAGTCCCCTCTCTAAAACTTGACAGCCATTATAGTGGTTCAGCTCACCATCACAGCCTCCTAACCAATCAGCCTACCTACCTCTTGTCACATCCCAGTCCTCATCAACCCTCCATGCCAAAATGATATTTCAGGAACAAATATTCCCCAGGAAGTATCATGAGGGTTGTAACTGATATCCAATAAAGCAGTGGTTCTCAACCTTTCTACTGCCGAGACCCTTTAATACAGTTCCTCATGTTATGGTGACCCCCAACCATAAAGTTATTTTCGTTGCTACTTCATAACTGTACTTTTGCTACTGTTAATGAATCATAACATAAATATCTGTGTTTTCTGATGGTCTTAGGCGACCCTGCTAGTGGTTCCCATCATCCCTGAAGCTCGCCGGTGAGCAGAAGCTTCTGTTCGGCTCTATTATTATACTTCTCTCATTGCTCTTCTGGACAACCTGAGGACAAGCCAATCCTCTTGAGAAATGTGAATTACATGACACTGGCAGCCAGTTTACAATCCTGCTTCTAGGGCACGGCCCAGACAGACTGATTGGCCTGTCCCGCCCCCCTGCACTCACTCTGCATTTCAATGAGCTGCAGGTCCGAGCCGTTCTGCAGCCCGGCCAGGTCACCAGCTGCTGTGCCATCGCCCCGGGAGCACTTCTGCCGCTCCTCCTCTAACTGCAGCTTCAGTTTTCTAACCTGCAGGGGAGTCAAGGGCTCGTCAGCAAGATCTAGTTTGTCAAGGGAGGCAGATCCTCGTCAGCTACACACATTATTCACGAGCAAGTTCCTTGAGTGCCCACCAAGGGGACACACTACTAACGGTGCTAGGAGAAGCTGTGAGCCAACAGCGAAAGGGGCGAGCACGAGGACCAGCCCCCATAAAAACAGCTCTATTTTCTTATTCGTGTCTGGTTTTGGAACATTTTCAGTATTATTTGTTACTTTTATTCAAAATGGAAATTCTATGGGCAGTTAGATACTTTTCTTTTGTTTTAGAGTTAGGTTAAATATTCTTATTTAGAAAATTTTCAATATTCAGAAATACATTAATAAAGGATGTTCAGAGTAGCTTATTCATAATAGCCAAAACTAAAAATAATCCAGATGTCCATCAACAGGAGGATAAACAAACTGTGGTACATCTATACTCAGCAAAAAAGGGGAAAAGTACAATTGACAAGCAACAACATGGCTGAATCTCAAAATAAGTATGTGAAAAATGTACTCCAATTATATAAAATTCCAGAAAGTGCAAACTCATCTAGAGGGACAGAAAGCGGGTCAGCGGTTGCTTGGGAAGGGGGAGGGAGGAGGGTGCAGGAAGAAAAGGGTGAAGAAACTTTGACACGTTATGAATACTGTCACTCCCCAGGTTCATCAGTTGAAATCCTCAGAATATGACCTCATGTGGAAATAGAGCCATTGCATATGCACAGAGTTAAGCTAAGATGAGTTCATATTGCAACAAGAGAGGACCCCTAAGCCAAAATGGCTAGTGTCCTTATAAAAAGAATTCCAGTTGAAGAGATACGGAGAGAGAAGATGATGTGTATCTATAAGCCAAGGAACGCCAAAGATGACTAGCACACCACCAGGAGGCAGAAGAGAAGAGGGGACAGATGGCCTTTCCAGGCCTCAGGAGGAACCAATTCAGGGCTACACCATGATCTTGGGCCTTTTGTCTCCAGAACTGTTGAGACAATACATTTCTATTGTTCCAACCACCCAGTTTGTGGTAATTTGTTATGACAGCCCAAGGAAAATAATATAGGTATGCACATTTGTATACTTTATGTGCAGCCAAGACTCAGATGGTGGCTGGTCTCCCAGAGCCCCCGAGGCTCAGGTAACCAGGGCTTGCTAAGGCTTGTGCTGCCAGCTGTGGCAGCAGCAGAGGTGTGATGGGGTGTCACCTTCCCCTGATCACCAGGTCGCCTCCTGCCCCTGAGGGCTCCCAGACTGTGAGAGGGGGCAGGGTGGGCTAGGGGACTGGCCCCCCTCCAGTGCATGAGTTTTCATGCACTGGGCCTCTAGTACCCTAATAAAGCTGAAGTTTTAAAATTTGCAAAATAAAGAAACTAAAAAATAAAATGAAAGGGGCTCTGGGTTGGAGAAAAAAGGCAAGGTTCAGAGGAGAAAGGAGTGCCACATGTGGAAAACAAGGAGTCAAGGGAACAGAAATGTACTGGATTCTGAGGCTTCCAGACCACACTCAGGTCCCACAATGCAGACAGCTGGGCTGAACCCTGAGCAGAGGACTGAACCTCTCTTTGGAGCTCTGACTAGCCTAAAATAAAAGACCGAGCTTTCCATGCTGAAGGCTCCCAACCAAACCCCCAGCCACATCAATCTTCACAAAAACTTGGACAAGCCTCACCAATTTCCTCAGAGCTGCCCATCAGCTTTCTAGTTCCCCACTCTTACACGGAAGACCAAATAAATATGCATAAAAGAGCATCTGGAAGGAAACAAACTGCAGACAGCAGAAAACAAACCAACCAGCCCGTCGATATCCTCCGAGATTAGTGAAAATACCTGCATCCTTGAAATGACTGCAGAAACAGAAACTCAACAAAAGTATTAGAAGGTAAAATTGAGAAACTTTTAAAAAGTAAAGCAAGAGACATAAAGAGAGGTGGAAAAACAGGAGAGAAACAAGAAGTCAGAACATCAGTGCCCGAATCTGTCTCCCTCCTTCAGAAACCAGTCATGTTTCTCCAAATGCCTACAACTCTTACCATCACACAAACACAATTCAGAGCAGTCTATTCACCCCCACACACCAGGGGAGGTGCCTCTGGGACAAAGGGACAAAACCTCCCATGCCTCTTTGTCCTTCAAGGGTCAAGGTGAATCTGCATGCTCAGAGTTCCAGATGGCCTCGCCAACTGTGTCCTCGACTCCATCAGCAGGAGTCAAGAGGCAGCCTGAGCACAGGGAGTAAGTTCGCCACTCCCCAACCTGGGACAGTCCGGGCGAGCGCTGCACTGGGACTAAAGCCAAGCTTCCGAGACACCTCTGTCCTTGCAGCACACACAGGGTCACCACTATCTGCCTTGAGTGAACCAAGACTAATCTCAATATCCCCAACACTCTGTTTAGGTCCATCTCAAAAAGGGTCACAGTTCTCTCTCCTACACTCTTCCCCAAAAGACTCTGTACAGCTCTTTGTCTTCACCTCCTAATCTTTCCCAAAGCCTGAAACTCTTCCACTGTGCCCTCTGGATTACCATTCTATCATCAGCAATGCCCCCTGGTCCTCCACCTCTGCTCTGAGCACTCCCTTTACCCCAGTGCTCTAATAGGATCCTGCTTCCTCTGCAGCCCTCTACGTACTCCCACAGCCCTACATTTCTCCCACAGCCCCCCTCCCATTGCTGGGCCCAAGAATGGAATGGGTGTCCTCTTGTTTATTTATTTATTTGTTTATTTTTTTATTTGCCATTGCCAAGCTATTCTCCCTCTAACCTCCCTAAAACTCCTAATCTTATCTCTTCCAATTATACTCACTACCCCTCATCATTGCCATCATCCCATTCTTCACTGTTTTAGCTCCCATCTTGCACTCCCTCAAAACTATTCCTGTCTTAAATCTTGGCAATTTCAAAATACACCTAAGTAGTGGATTTCTTCTACAATTGATATCTTAGTTTCCGGAACACATCCTCTCTAAAGATCTTGGCATCTGTTCCTTCTTGCCCTCAGCCACTCACTCCCACAATCAAGTACTATAGCTCATCATTTAGCTCAGCGGTCACTAACCAGGGGTCTGCAGACCACTGGTGGTCCGTGCGGTCCAAAAGGTTGGCGACTGCTGCTTTAGATAACTGCAATCTCTACATGCATCTAATCCACATATCTTCTCTCTAACCGCTACTCCAGATCTTCCCAGCTCATTCTCTCTGGACCCCAACTCCAAAAATCATTGGATGCCACTAGCAATGCTCCCATTTTTTTCCAGTGGGCCTTGATCTTCCTGGATGTCCTCTCAAACCTCCTTACCCAGTTTAATTTCTAGGTCCATCACCACTCTGTTGCACATACCCTTGCATCCTCTGCCCTATTATACTTGTCTGATAAAAGCTAACTGCCTACTCCACGTCTGCACCGATAAAAGTTTAATGTGGCTGGAGAAACACAATAAATGCATTCACACAAATCTCTAACATAACACATAATTTACTATCTATCTATCTATCTATCTATCTATCTATCTATCTATCTATCTATCTATCTATCAGCCTAAGTGACTGGCCAACCAGCCAACCAGCCAACGGGCCAGTAGCTATGACATGGACTGACAACCAGAGGGCGGACGCTCAACACAGGAGCTGCCGAGCTATGGTCACTTGGCAGTGGCAGTTCTCAGGTGATGTACCCAGAACCAGAGAGGAGGTAGCCCAATTCTGGGGTGCGCCACCTGAGAACTGCCCTCCCGCAATCCGGGACCCCTCAGGGGGTACCAGAGAGCTGGTTTTGGCCTGATCCCCACAGGCCAGACCAACGGGCCCCACCGGTGCATGAATCCATGCACCAGGCCTCTAGTTAATTATATTTGTTGTATACTGCTTGGTCTCCTACCACTAGAATGTTCGATCCACTAGGGCAGGAATTTTTTTAAAAACTATTTTGTTCATTGAAATATCTCAAATGCCTAGAATAGTGCCTACTAAATAGTGGACTTAACCTACCATTGGAAAGTATACAGCTAAATTAGTAATACACATATAGAAAAGCAAGTGAAAGGAACAGAACAATATTTGCTTTGGAGAAAATGAAGAGCTGTGGAAGAGATGAGAGGCAGTCCTAGTGCTACAAGGCTCCACTGTGAGGAGTGTTGACAAAGTCTAATAACATGAAAGGACTGGAAGGACACTGTTCCCTTACTAGGCAGATGTGGGGATGGAAGGTATACGTGTGTGGTAGAAACAGGGGATGAAAGGAAGCTAAATGCTCACCTTCCACAGATGGATGGCAACAGAGAAGGCCAAAAACAGAACAATTGAGAAGCAATGTAAGCATGTTATTTCTATACAAAGAAACAATGTTACACATCAAAGAATCAGGTAAAAGCACCAAGCAGGAATGATCTGGGGTAAGGCTGGGGGGCAGGAAAGAGCACTTCCGGCTTCATAGCAAGCTTTGTAGGACTGTTCGACCCTCAAGCTATGTGTTCTATACATTATTTTTTAAAAACAATAAGAGGTAAAATATGAATTATCTTTTTATCTTTCATATCTGACTTGAGTGTTGATATTTAAAATAAGCACATCTCTTTCTAGTGTACAATAATTTGCTAACATTTTACCATGTGACTTAGTTACAATTAACATTACCTGTGATAGTAGCTCTTCCTTCTCTCCAGCAAGTTTTCGTAGCCTTACATCTAAAACAAACAAAAAAAGGTTGTAAACCAAATTTGTCATAATATAATATATGAACAATTAAAAATAATTCTACAAATTGAAAAAGAGCAAATATCTGATAAACAATTGACAGCTCTGACTATCAAGACATGAAGGCTTGATGGTATAAGGAAAAGTACTTCATTATTCAACACATATTTCCACACAATGGATATTTATCAGGGCACTAAATACATGTGCTCCCTAGAGTAGTGATTTTCCACTTAAAGACAAACTAAAGTACAAAGATCATTTCCTTGTTTCAAAACTTTGCAAGCTCTCACTAGTAGAGAGACAACTCAAATGCCAAGGGTGCTCCCACAAGCTTAATTAAGCCCTTAGCAGGAGAAAACAAAATATGGGATAGAAGACAGGGGTCAAGAGTGGGACTTAGAGAAGCTGGAACAAAAAAACCAGAGGAACACAACGCTGGAAGAAGCAATGGCCCACAACAGCTAGTGGGGGGAGGATGGGCCCAGCTCTAAAATGCAGGCCATCAAGGGCTAATCAGGCTTTGTAGCAGGGTCACTGGGCCTGCTCCTAGCCTGGAGGGAGAAGCACATATATTAAAACAGGCCCTTGGGCTGAGGGGATACCCACAGACGAGTAAAAGCAGCAGCTGACATCTAGCCAGCACCTCTTACAACCAATCAGGGTCCCAGCTAAGTGTAAGCTCGGGTTTCTTCAGCACCTTCCAAGCAGAGGAAACGCTCTGAATCATACCCATTCTCTAGAGCAGCTTCCTCTTGCCTTCTAGCATCTTCTGCTTCATCAAAGTGCTCTACAATCACATTTCTATAAGTCTGTACATTCGAGACTATATTCACTAACTTTAGAAGATTCCCCCCCAACCCCCACTCTTATAGCCCACTTTTCTAGGAAACCTACACATCTACAAAAACATGAAAAAAATATTTTTTAAATAAGTAAAAGTAGGCTGATGATACAGTATCTATCTGGATCATTTTTTTTTCTTTTCTGTAGAGCAAGATTCTTAGTGGAGATAATTGGTAGACATCTGTGTGGTTTCCTGAGAGAGGTGTCACTAGAATCTCAAAGGGTTAAATTGAAGAGGCTTAGATAAGAGTCTCAGAAGCCCTGCTCTAGAAATAACACCGATATCTACCCTCTTGGTCATCTGTTTCTTGCCTTAAGAAACAAGGTGGCAAAGAGCTGCGAGAACCCTGGGATAAGCAGTACACAGAACCAGATGCTCCAGGAAGAAAATACACTTGGAAAGTCGCCTACCAGCCCACTGGTTCCCTGGGACCAGAAGGTTTCTATTTAATTGAAAAAGCAATGTGCTATCTCTAAGTGAAAAAGCAATGTGTGTATACCCACAGCTTCCAGCCAGGGGCCTTACAATGACCCAAATGCTGGCCTACCATAGTCAAGGATGTCTGAAGATAATGTGCCCCTATTTCTTTTCATTAAGGATCTAGATAAGACTCAGCCGAAACCGGTTTGGCTCAGTGGTAGAGCGTCGGTCTGCGGACTGAAAGGTCCCAGGTTCAATTCCGGTCAAGGGCATGTACGTTGGTTGCGGGCACATCCCCGGTAAGGGATGTGCAAGAGGCAGCTGATCGATGACTCTCTCTCATCGATGTTTCTAACTCTCTATCCCTCTCCCTTCCTCTCTGTACAAAACCAATAAAAATATATTTTAAAAAAAAGTTTAAAAAAAAAAAAGACTCAGACAGTCTTTGTGTAGTTTTTGTTTTTCAAGATGGTAAATGAACAAGATGGAAGTCTAATAGGGTCACCTTAACCCAAGTTAAGGTAGCAACCAGTGTCTTACCTAGAGGACCCTCTCCTGCGGACTCCAAGACCTGAGCAGCTTCCTGAGACACCACAGTGATGGCTCCAACCACTGGTTCATGATTGACATCACCGTTGGGAGTGCCGTCTGGGATTATAACTAAGCCATGTTTCTGTGGGGAAGAAAAAACCCACCATCAAAAGACGGCCCACACGAAGGGGGCATGCTCTGTGAGGTGACTCTGACAACAGGTTTGCCACAGGTGAAACCGGGGCAGAGCTAGTTACATGGAACACAGCTCTGTAGAAGAAATGACTTAAGCCTACCAAACTTGGATTGAAGAACGACCACTGTGGTTTGTACTCATGCCAGGAAAGATGACAGGATGAAGGGAAGGAAGAAGAAAGCGCTGAGGGACATGAGTTGCAGGCTGATGCTAACATACCTCTCCTGTCTTCACCGAATCCTTCAGGTCAGCCAGCTCCTCTCTGAGCATATCTCGCTCATTCCTAAGGCAGGCAATGTATTCCTTCTGCTTCTCTAGGGCCTGGTTTTACACAGAGTAGCAAGGGACAGAATGGCACAGAAAAAAAGCAAGTGAAAGGGAGCAGAGAAGTACCCAAATCAAATAAAGATAAAGGCATAAAAGACAAGGCAACATTAAGAGCTGGGAGGAAATAGGAAGTTAGATGGATATATATCTCCAGAAGGGAGTTTTAATAGCAACTGGTTAATCGTGCAGAAATTCGACAAAACATGCTTATCACATCAGGCAAGAAAACGAATCTTTCTTTTCCAGTCCATGAACAAACAGGAAACGGAAAACGAAGGCAGCAGTAATGGTGAAATAAAGTTGCCCTTACTGATCTCCTAGTACCTTTTCATTTGGTGAATCAATCAAATAAAACCCCCAGATTTCACCTAAAATAGTTTATTCAAGAATATACTTGATTTTAGAAAAAGTTCTGGAAGAAAAAAGATCAGTATGCACAAGGTATTTTAATTAAATGTAGGCTGTAGTGATTTTTCTTCAAGTAGCGTGGCAAAATATTCCTCAAATACCGCTTAATTGAAAATGGCTAATCTCCAAAGGGATTCTTGAGAACCCACTTTGTTAATGTAATTAAATACAATTAAGAGTAATTTGGTTTTCTGATGTACCTTCAAAATGTGAAAAGCAAAAATAACACACTGACAACATAAATACAGCCCACCTACAGAGGGTAGCAAATATGGGTTTTGGAATCTGGCTTTTGAATCCTGACACATACTAACTTGTCTTTGCCTCAGTTTCCTCATCTGAAAAGGGGCAGGGCTAACCTCAGCTCCCACAGCGTGGGCTTAGGCTTCAAGAGGCCCTCAGTGGAAAGCCCCACCAGCCAGGCATGAAACAGGGAGGGTTCAGGGAAGCCAGCCGCTGTTCTCATTTGCATTTTCCTGCCACTGCCTGAATCTCACGGCTGTCAGAACTGAGGACAGTGCAGAAGCAGAAATGCACTTTGATCCTTGTGCCTCAAAATAATACCCACGTTGGGCAGTCTATTCAGGGGCCTGACCGCTGGGCTATTTGAAAAAGCCTTTCTCCATCCATTTGTTCATACGGTTAATGTTTTCTGCCAGCACTCCCATTAATCTGAGTAAACCACAACAGGTTACTTTCTTCTCAATTTATTGGGTTTAGAAGTGGTCAATTGCTTAGTGACTGGTTGCTCAATAACTGGACAATTTTTAAAGCCATTATAATCCTATTTTGCAACCAAACTGGGAGTAAGGGATAAGACAACTACGATATTCACAGCTCAAACTACAATTTGCGTAGCTCCAACTACTATATAGACAGTGTTATATACACATATAAATAAGTATATCTGTATCTACATAATTTCTCCCTTATATAACCTGTATTTTGTCTTATGCCCATTTCACGAATCAGAAAATTGAAGCTCAGAGAAGTTATATATTTTTGCTCAATGTCACAGTAAGTGGCAAAGCTAGAGAATGAATCAGAAGCTCTTGCATATTTTTTCTATATGGCAGCACCATGAAGGCCACAATTCTGTTCCCTTGCTGTCCCAGATGCTGCTGGAAAAGTGGTCCACAGGGCAAGTCCTACTCCTCACTCAAACTGCAACATCAAAATCTAACTTCCCTTCAACAAATCACACTGTATGACATGTCTGGAGTCTGCCTGTGAATTAATAATGATTTTCTAATATCATAAGGCATTAATATTAACACTCCACTGCATTAATAACAAACGTAACACTAAGACAGCAAAGCACAAACAATACCCTTGTTGACAGTTGCTGTTCTGTCTGCTGGGTTAGACAGTTGTGGTTATGGGTGTCTGCGTGAGCAGGTAGGCCGTGCATCAGCACATGTACTGAGTTAGCGATCACTATCACAACATGCTCTATATTAACACCACCACCAAACAGAAATGATCTCTTAGGAACAGACCAATTTGAAACCAGGAATTCTAGCAAATGCTAGAATATGCCATTTGCTCCTCTTCCACATCTTACAGCAGTGAATTTTATCTTTACTTTTGGACTTTTTAATTTTGTCTTCCCATAATTATGGATGGGAAAATAAAATACATCCTGTAAGTGCTCTCATTTCACCACAAAGTTTCAAGAGGACTGAAATACTGTATAATTAGACCACATGTATTCACGCTGAATTTGAAATCCTCTGTATTACCTGACCATCTAACCACTACTCTTGGGTCTGCATTCAATAATAGTTCCTACAGTGAAAATTTTTTTAGGGCAAAAAGTACATGCTTGTGACAGTCTAAATAATTCTTTATCCCTGACCTAACCTCAAATTCCAGTGTCAAGAAGGCTTAAAGATATGTATAACAGGTTGAACTTTGGGCAACAGGTTAACTCTCCATATAATTGCACAGGGTAGTCAGAATGGGAGTGAGTCTTATACCGGAATATGTGGACATATAGGTACTTTGTATATATATTACATATGGCCACCTGGTGCTTGGAACAGCCTTGGGGATAAAGACATGAGCACTAGGATCAGTGAAGAACTAAAGAAAACAACTTTAACAGGAGAATAAAGGTCATGCTCTTCTATTAAGTTACTAAATTTAAATCTTGAAAATGAAGCTAGATATGAGTGATATATTAGGTAGTCATTCATGTTGAAAATGTTGTAAGTCAAGAGAGGACCACATCACATATATTAGGATGGCTGCTATAAACAAAACAGAAAACATGTTGGTAAGGATGTAGAGAAACTGGGACACTTGTGCAGAGCTGATGGCAATGTTAGTGCAGCTGCCATGGAAAATATGGTGGTTCCTCAAAAAATTAAACCTAGAATTGCCATTTATGCAGCAATTCCACTTATGGGTACATACCCAAAAGAAATAAAAGAAGGGTCACAAAAAGATATTTACAACCCCATGTTCACAGCAGCATTATTTGAAAGAGCCAAAAGGTGAAAGCAAACCAAGTGCCTATCAACAGATGATAGGATAAACAAAATGTGGTGGGTACACACAATGGAATATTATTATCTTAAAAAGGGACATCTGACATATGCTACAGTATGATAACCTTTAGGACATATGCTAAGTGAAATAAGCCAGTCACAAAAAGACAAATACTAATGATTCTACTCATATGAGCTGCCTTGAGTCAAAGTCATAGAGACAGAAAGTAGATGGTAGTTGGGAGGGGTTGAGAAGGAGATGGGGAGTTGTAATTTAATGGGTAGAGTTTTAGTTCTATTAGATGAAAAGGGTTCTGTGGATAGATGGTGGCGCTGAAAGCACAGCAATGTGAATGTACTTAATATCACAACTAACTCTACACCTAAAAGTAGTAAATTTTATGTTATTTGTACTTTGTCACAGTTTTTAACTTTTTAACTTTTATTTTTAAATGACAAACTATTAATACATGCAACAACTTGGATGAATCTCAAGGGAATTATGCTGAGTGAAAGAAGATAATTAAAAAAGTTATATACTATATAATTCTACTTATATAACATTCTTAAATGGCAAAATTATCGAAAAGGAGAACAGATTAGTGGTTGCCAGAGCTTTAGACAGAGTAGGGGAGATAGTAGATATGGCTATAAAAGGGCAACAGGAGGAATCCTTATAACAGTGATGAAAATGTTTTCTATCTTGACTATTTCAAGGTCAATATCCTGGGTATGGTATTGTATAATACTATAGTTTTGCAAGATGTTGCAATTGGGGAATATCTCTTTGTATATTTTTCACAATTACATGTGAATCTACAATTATCTAAAAAATGTTTTAAAAGTTTAATTTAAAAAAAATCCAAAGGAACACATTATTATATACCACATAGAAGCAAGATATCCACTTATTTAATAATGGCAAGAGCCGAAACCGGTTTGGCTCAATGGATAGAGCGTCGACTTGGGGACTAAAAGGTCCCAGGTTCGATTCCGGTCAAGGGAATGTACCTTGGTTGCGGGCATATCCCCAGTGGGGGATGTGCAAGAGGCAGCTGATCGATGACTCTCTCCCATCGATGTTTCTAACTCTATCTCTCTCCCTTCCTCTCTATACAAAATCAATAAAATATATTTAAAAAAATAATGCCAAGAAACATAAAAACTCAAATAATTTATATCTTGACCATCAGCTCAGCCTTTTTATAAGGAAAAAAAACTTTTATAGAGCTATTTTATTGGGCTGAGAGATTTAGAATTTTTCTCTGGCCAGGCCAAAATAACCAGTTTAAAATACTGAGATGATTATGCAAAATAGGAATCACAGGCTTGCTGATAGGTGCTAAAAAAAATTATTTCAGATCCTAAACGAAACCCATTCTAGACAGTGACAAGATTTTAAACTTTTAAATTATGTACTTTGTGCTACATATTTTTTTTCCCTTTTTTAAAATTTAAACTCATTTTAAGTTGGTTCGTGACAAACACGGATACTATTTTTCTTTCTTTTTTTAAAATATATTTTACTGATTTTTTTTACAGAGAGAAGGAGAGAGGGATAGAGAGCTAGAAATGTTGATGAGAGAGAAACATCGACCAGCTGCCTCCTGCATACCCCCCACCGGGGATGTGCCCGCAACCAATGTACATGCCCTTGACCGGAATCGAACTTGGGACCTTTCAGTCCGCAGACCGATGCTCTACCACTGAGCCAAACCGGTTTCGGCTGTGCTACACATTTTTCACAACTCATTTTAAATTTCCCAAGTAAAAATTTAAATAAGATCAGTAGCTCACAATTTTAAGTGTTAACAGAGTTGTTAATTTATACTGCAGAATGCTCTTCTAGTTTTGGGTAGAATTTTAGAAACTTGGAATTTAAGTATTAGAAACTCTAAGAGGTAGCTTTATTTCTTTAAAGCTTTTGGTCTACCAAACTCCTGAGAAGGCATCTTGTTTCCCAGGTGCTCATTCTCATTAATGACAGGATAGGGTCACTGCAGGTGGGAAAAGAACTAGATATTAAACAGACTCCCCTAACAATGGGGGGTGTGATCCAGAGGGTTATGTCTATCACAAGTGCTCTTGGGGATCTTTGCTACCTTTCCTAACCCACCTAACCCGTTTCCCCGCCACAGCCCATCCCTGAGAAGGTAAGCCTCTGGCACTTATGGCTATGTGGGCCCCAAATGCGGAACAGGTAGCTCGTGCTTTGAGATGGGGCTGCCAGTCAAAGGGCACACAGGGTGAGCTGGTGGAAATCTTTTCAGCCTACTGTGCACTTGGGATCTACTTAAAGGGCTTAGCAAAAAAGCACTGAAGACTTTTCCCTTATCTGGGCCCCTACTTTGGGGAGTTATGAGATTATAATTAGAGATGACCTCATAATTTGGCAGTTCTAGCAAATCTGACATTCCTATTCACTTCCGTAATTAAACTGATCTTAATCTCTTCCTATTTTACTTACCAAGGATTTATGGAATGCTAATAACCTTTCCCTCAGCCCCACTCCTTATCCTTTTGCTCCTTATCCAAATTGTTGCAATGTAAGGATATAAAGCTACCCACAGAGTCTGGATTAAATGCCTGTGGCTGCTTCTGGATAAGAATCGTGAGGAAATAAAGAACAACTTCCTTAGAAAGTTCCTACTGGTAGGTTTCACAAGCCCAGAGGCAGCGAGAGAGTGTTCTTTCCAGGCATATTATCAGGTTTCCCCCTAAAAGTTTGTCTTCTACTTATTATGTTTCATGCTGTTTAAATGCTTAAGAAGAGTCAAAAGGACAGGTTTTTGGAATCTCTAAGTTAAATTATATTGGTCTATTCCTTGTCGATGAGCTTGGGAGTAAAGCCCAATTTCACTTCATACCCTAATGATTTTATCTTTCCAAAGAAGTGTCTCCTGGAGCTCAAACAGCTCTTTTGTCATGGTGTCTACTTTCTGCTGCATACGCTGATTCTCCTGCAGAGGAAGAGGGGAAGAGAGGAATGAAAGAGCAGAAAGAAACAAGGAAGGGGGTGAGAGAGGAAAACAGAAATAAAAGAAAGATGATTTTAAAAAACAGTAAAAGGGGACCGGCTGTGATGAACAGGAAAAGCAGGAGTTGCTTGCTGAAAGGAAGGCAGACATCCAGCGGCTGGGAGACAGGACTCGCAGTGGCTCACCGCTATAAAGTAGGGAAGGGACTGGAATAAGTTCCAACCACAGCTATGTGGCAGCAAGCCAGCTAGGGTTTCTGTGTGCATCCAGTCCCACGTGAGGACTCTTCCTGAGAACTGCCTTTTCCAAACATGGACAAACTTACATTTCTAAAGAGGAAAATTCAGATTTGCTTATGATCCTTATCATAAAGGACAACCAATAGTTTTAAACTTTATTTTCTAAGCAAAACTAAAACAAACAACAACAAAAAACAAACCACACTAAAAAAAAGAGACATATCTTAGCTTTGTCATTTTGAATTTTTGTCAGAATCTATGCTAGAAAGAAAATTATAAATACTCACATCATTATAAATACTCACATCAATGTTTAGAAAAACTAGAAATTAGTATTTAGTCATTCTTAAACAACTCTTCTGTTTAGACAATGATGCTCAATTATCCTTTTACCTATGTTTAACAGGTTTCGTTTTATGCATTATTGGTAAATTATGATCTCCTACTTTCCTTAGTCACACATTTCTTATATATTTTACCATGCGATCTGCAGACCAAAAAAGCATTGTTTTGTCATACTCAAGAATTTTCAGTTACACATAAACAGAAATGGCATGTGAGATAGTAGACACAGGAGGATGGTAAATGCTTTCAAAGATCTCTTGGTGGACCACACTGCTTCCCATTCCTAAAAAGTTGCCAACACTGATGCTCAGAGTCCCTCCACCAGGAGAAAGTTGAAGTCAGCACGGGCCAGCCTTTGCCTTTTTGTATATAAGGTGCCTCCACAACTTCTTATTTGCATCTACCTCAGTGAGGATCAAGCTTCTTATTCCCCCAGAACCATGTTCCCAAAGACAGCATTCACTACATTCCAAAGAATAATGTACTCTGTAATCCTTCCTTTACCCATTTCCTAAAATGTCTGTAGTGCCAAGATCAGTTTGGCTCAATGGATAGAGCGTCGGCTTGGGGACTAAAAGGTCCCGGGTTCGATTCCAGTCAAGGGCATGTACCTAAAATGTCTGTAGAAAAGAATGTGCTTAGGAATAAAAGCAATTATAAAAGCTTCTATTATTAAAAAGGGGACTGTTTATAGGGTTCATAGCATTAATTGTTTTAGCCATTATGTTTCACATTTGTGAAATTGTAAGGTACAGCTAAATATGAAGAGACAAGTAGTAAACTCTTTGCAGTATTTTAACTCCTTTCCCTCCCAATGCATACCCCCCTCTCATTCAATGTATTTTTTCAAAATTCAGTATTTCCTCAATTCATGTACATACCTCAATAAGCTCATCTCTTTGCCGAAGGCCTTCTTTAAGTTCATCCATTTTATGCTGCAGCACACTACACATATGTTTCTGCCTTTCTAACTCCTGTTATTAAACAAAAGATACAGTTTACCCAGATAATGGCACACAGCAAAATGAAACATGTACAACATAATAACATAGAGGCTAAGTATGTCCTCCAGAAACACCCCTGAACTGCCCATGCAGAGTAACTTAGGAAAATTCTGTGGTCTATGGAAAGGCACAGAAATTTTTCATTTTTCATCTTATAGGAATAACCCAAACTAATCAATGGCAAAATTACTTAGAACAATGAGATGACTTAGTAAAGTAACAGGTTAAAAAATTACCACATGAAATTAAAAAATAAATTTAAGAAATACATTCATGTAAACTTGCAAGAATATATAAAATCTATCTGAGGAAAATTATATAAAACTTTTGTGAATGACAGAGAGCCAATGGAAAGGCATTTTATCTTTTTGGGGGGAAAAAGACTCAAATATCATAAAAATGTCAGTTCTCTCTCAAATTAATCCATACATTTAATTAGAGCAAGAAAAGTTGATTATAAAGTACATCTGGGAGAAAAAATGGACAGAAAGCATACTGAAAAAGAAGAAAGCCAGCCTTATTAGATATTAGAACATATTATAAGGCCCACATAATGAAAACGTTGTGAGGCCTCATGAAGACAAATCAATGAAGCAGAATAGAACAACCAAAAATAGACCCAATTACAATATGTTAAGTAGAACCAATAGACAAACACATTGAACAACAACAAAACTAAAAAAGCATCTCAAATCAGTAAGAAAAAAATACTTTAAATTAGTGTTAGGATTACTAGATATCTGCATGGAAAAAGAAAAGTGAGACCAAACCTTGCACCATACATCAGGAACAATTCCAAATGGATCAGAAAGGTTCAGAAAGGAAGGGAAATGGAGAGAGCAAAGAAGGGGGGAACAGTTATAGCACTAAAGAAAAGATGAGTGGATTCTTATAACCAATGAATGAGGAAAACATTACTAAAAGTGGCTAAAAATTTTGCAAGCGAGAAGGAGAAAGAGATAATAAATTAAATAAAAATAAAAATTTCTGAATAGCAAAGACTAAAAACAGAGTAAAATGATTGCAAAAAATAGTTACAACTTATATGAGACAGAAAGTTACTCTATTATAGTCTCTAAAACTAGAAAGAAAAAAACACACTACTATATAGAAAAATGGACTAAAAGGTGGAGAATTCACAGAAAAAAAAATTGTTTTGAACATGAAAAGATTATCATACTAAGAGAAATAGAGATGAAAATCGTATTTCTCATTATAACACTAGTAAGAGTCCAAAAACTTGACAACATAATTCAGAAAATTACTATGAGATAGAAAACAGGCCCTCTCACACATTTTGGTGGGAATACAAAATGTTATAACTCTTACGGAGGGAATAATTCGGCAGAATCTAGCAGCCTTACCATACCTTTTGAGCCAGGTAAACCCATTTTGATAATGCCCCAAAATTAAAAAGACCTACGAGTACATCATTTTTGCAGGACTATTTTTAACAGCAGGAGACTACGAACAACTTGAATGCCCATTGATAGGGAACTGCTAGAATAAACTGTAGTACATCCACACAATGAAAAAATCTATACAGTGATTTTAAAAAATAAGGAAGATCTCTATATAACACAATCATAAGGTGGTTAAATCAAGGTCCACAATGTTATTTATAGTATGCTACCATTTTCTAAGAAAGGAGGAACATATATATTTGCAAATATTTTTTGAATGGCAAAAATATATATCTTCTTAGATTTAAAAATGAAAGAATAAACTAGAAATTTAAAATTTTAAGGAAGGAAATTTTTAAGGAAGGGTGAAGAGAAAGAGCTAGAAGGCTGACTTCTTTGAATATGTTTTTTGTTGATTTGATTTCAGATATATATAAACATTTTACATAACAGTAGAACAAAAATAAAAAGCAATTCCTTGGGGAAGCAACCCAAATATCCTCTGACATATACATGGATTAAAGTGGTATAGATAGATAGATAGATAGATAGATAGAGAAGTCTTATTCAGGAAGGAAATCCCATTACAAGCTACAAAATAAACAAACCTTGCTTAAGAGCATTATGCTAGAGAAATAAGTCAGTTATGAAAAGACAAATATATGAGTCCACTTATATGAGCTATCTAGAGTACTAAAACTCATAGAGACAGAAAGGAGAATGGTGGTTGCCAGGAACTGGGGGGAGGAGAAAATGGGGAGATATTTAGAAAGTACAAGGTTTTAGTGTTACAAAATGAAAAAGTTTTGGACATATGTTTTACAACAATGTGAATATACTTACCAGTCCAGAACTATACACTGTAAAATGATTAAGATGGTAAATTTTGTTATATATATATATATATATATTTTTTTTTACCACAATTAAAAGTAAAAATAATTTAAAAATAAAAAGTAAAAAAGCAATTTCTAAATATTGAAATAAATGCAGGGAACTATATAAACATAAGCACAGGGACAGAAACTATTTCAAGTAACTTTTAAAAACAAGGGTTGGACTATACATAGCCTAGCAGTCAAATAACAACCAACAGAACAAAACAAAAGACATAACTATTTTAAGTAATTATATTGTTGGTGGTAACGTTGTTATTCTGGGTACTGTGGGATAAAGCAATGAGCATAGAATATAACATAATTACTATCATCCTCAGTGACTTTTAAGAACTGAAAGTGGTAGTGCGGGGAAAAAAAGGGATGTACATATACTAGCATAAGGAAGACTCTAAGTAAAAACCCTAGAGTCCTGAACATGAACTAGAACCATAAGCACACACTCATATTTTGACTTTAAAAACTTTTGTTTTTTAATTATTTTTTAAAATATCCCACATACATGTTCACCTGATGCTAAAAAAGCTTATAATCAGCAATGAACTTGGTGATAGCAAAGAAGCTATCGAAAATAGACTCTTGAGCCCTAGCTGATTTGGCTCACTGGATAAAGCATCAGCCTGTGGACTGAATGGTCCAGGTTCAATTCTGGTCAAGGGAACATGCCCGGCGGTGAGGGCCTAAAGTGGAGGGGGAAGGGAAGTGGGAGGAGAGAAAGGGAGGAGGGGGCGGGCTGAAGGGGGTTGATGGGTGGAAAAAGGGGACATATGTAATATTTTCAACAATAAAGAATTTTTAAAAAAGTAGATTCTTGTCAAAACTTGGGAATCAACCTGAAGAGATTCACATTAGTTAAAGGTAGGACAACTTGAAAATTAGTTAGAATCTATCTAGCTATCTATCTATCTATCTATCTATCTATCTATCTATCTATCTATCTATCTATCAAAGCCTAATATGTAAAGTGTCTCCTTGGGAGTTCGACCAACCGGGACTTCAATCGCTCACTATGATGTGCAATGACCACCAGGGAGTGGCATGGAACAAAGGAGGACCCCGGTCGGCAGCCCACAGCTGAGGAAGGAAGGCCCTGGCCAGCAGCCACTAGGAACCCTACCCATGCACAAATTTTGTGCACTGAGCCTCTAGTAAAATCTGTAATTGATTAAAATCATCAAATGTTTGAATACTTGACTTCATAATATTTTTTAAAAAGAAACCAATAATGGATGACTATGAAAGAATGCTAAAACAACCAATTCTTTATTTTGAAAACTCTTTATCTTGCCCTTCCTATTTATTAAATATATCTTATTGATTTTTTACAGAGAGGAAGGGAGGAGGATAGAGTTAGAAAGATCAATGAAAGAGAGACATCGATCAGCTGCCTCCTGCACACCCCCTACTGGGGATGTGCCCGCAACCAAGGTACATGCCCTTGACCGGAATTGAACCCGGGACATTTCAGTCCACAGGCCGACGCTCTATCCACTGAGCCAAACTGGTTTTGGCAATCTTGCCCCTCCTATTTAAACTGTCTGAGCTGAGTAGTACGAGATGAGGGGACATTTGCTTTAAAGATGGAGTTACACTTTAATTTTCCCTCTGCAATTTTAACAACATAGTTTATAGAGCTCTAAAGAAAACATACATATATTTCTGACCCATGTCTCCATAATGCTGCTTCTAAATTACTGATTAAAAATTTTCTCCAATCATTCAGAAAACAGCTTTTCTTGAAAAAGAAAAAACTGAACTATCGCACTACAAGTCTTTGAAGCTTTGTGAAGTTCTAGCCAGTCAAAACAGGAAGAAATAAGTAATTAACTGTAACTGTCCCAATTAAGAGATAGAAAATAAAGATAAAATTTGAGTTCTATTTTCAGAAACTAAAGAAAGGTCATAAGCTTCTCTTTAGTAAAATAAATCTTATAAAAATTTAAAAAGAAAAATATTTAGGACCTGTTATGTTCTGTCAATTTCCTTGGACCAACTGGTTTAACTGAAACATCACTCCCAGGTATGCTGCATGTTTTCCATTAAGCCCAGCACTTTTTAAATGGCAGGTTTTAATTTTCTGATCCAAAAGAAAAGTGTAATACAAGATGAGCAGTTACCTTTGATTTTTCTTCATTTTCTCTATAAAATTCTGCCATCTGTTCCTCTTGTTCTTCAATAACATCCTTGAGGGTATCTACCTGGTAGATCAAATTGTTCTTCTCGTTGTCTAACTGTGCATTAGAAACCATGGCTTTCTTGTATTTTTCTTCCACTTCAGACAGAGACTCCTAAAATAAAGTCCAAGTCATGAGCCTGATACCTAAAATATCACATTCACATACATACACTATATACAATATATAACAGGAAAAGATAGCACTGGCACAAACACATGAAGATGCACTTTTGCAAAATACAAGCAGTTTGGGGAACTCCTTGTTTAGTAACATGCACACACAACAGGGGGATGATAAGCCACAAGGCCAATGAAGGGCTTTAGATGCCCTCTGCTATCCAAGGCGAGAAAATCAAGCAGCAATTTTGCCTCTGAGAGATGAAAAGATGTGTAGACAACTTGTATTTGTCAGAGAAACAAAATGAAGACTCACTAAGGTTTTCAGAAATGTTACTCATAGTTTTAACAAGCTGTTTGGTATTCAGAATGCAATGGTACAACAGAATACAGCCGCACTTTATAGAAGTAAACTTCATACTCATTTGGATTTTGCTACTTCCTAGACATTTGTTTTCAGTACTTTCCTGGACTGCATACTGATGCTAATGTAAATGTATAAACATTTATTTCTAGCAATTATTCAACTTTTAGTCATATCAAAATAAGTAAACAATTAAAAAAATGATTTCTAATAAAAGAGTTACGATGCCCTGGCCAGTGGCTCAGTTGGTTGGAGCATCATCCAAGGTGATTATGTTCAATTCCTAGTCAGGGCACTTACCCAGGTTTTGAGTTTGATCCCTGATTGGGGCATGTGCAGGGGGCAATCGATGAATGTATCAATGTTTCTCTCTCTCTCTCTCTCCCTCCTTTCCTCCTTCTCTCTAAAATCAATAAAAAATTTTAAAAAAAGAACTACCACAAAATGCTTGAAATTTTATATTCTAAGTTTTCTGCCTAAAATAGCTTATAAGTCTGTTCTTTAATGACTATGTCTAATTTGGTAGATTACTACTGCCTAGTAGCTTTTTTAAAGCTAAAAAGAAAAAATATTTCAAGTAGAAAAAGTCATCACTGTTGGAAATAAATAACTAGTGCAAATGTTGATCAATGCTATGGAAATGAGAGTCCAGAACACTTATATTTATGAGCAACTGATTTTTGACAAGATTATTCAGACAAGTCAATGGAAAAAAAAATTTTTTTCAACAGTGCGGGGACAATTGAATATCCATATGCAAAAGAATGAAGCTGGACTACTATCTCATATCACACACAAAAATGAACTCAAAATAAATGAAAGACCTAAATTAAAAGCTAAAATTATAAAACTCTCAAAGAAAACATAGCTATAAATATTCATAAACCTGGAGTAGGCAATGGCTTCTTAGACATGACAATAAAAGCACTATCAATAAAAGAAAAAAATAGAACATAAAAATTTTTAATGGCAAACAATACCATTAAAAAAGTGAAAAGACAACCGTAGAATGGGAGGAAGTATTTATAAATCTTTTGTCTGATAAAGGACTTGTATCCAGACTATATAAAGAATTCTTATAGGTCAATAATAAAAAAAGACACATAATTCAATTTAAAAATGGGCAAGGATTTGAATAAATATTTCTTTCTATGTACAATAAGAACATAAAAACATGTTCAACATCATTAGTAATTAGAGAAATGCACATCAAAACCACTCCAGACCTACTGGGATGGCTATAACCTACAATGAAAACAAAACCAAAAACAAAACAAAACCAAAAACAAGTATCGATGAGGATATGGAAAAACTAGAATCCTCTTACATTGCTGGTGAGAATGTGCCACTACTTTGGAAAATAGTTTGGCAGAGTCTCCAAATGGTAAATATAGAATTTTCATATGACCCAGCAATTCTATTCCTATGATTCTACCCGGGAGAAATGAGAAGATATGTGTATATAAAAACTTGTACACAAAAATATTCATAGCAGCATTATTCAAAAATAGCCACAAATTGGAAACAACCCAAATGTACATCAACTGACAAAGAGATAAACAAAATGTGGTAAACCCAACAATGAAATATTATCCACACACATTAAAAAAAATACAAAAATACACAGAGATACCATAGATACATGTTACAACATGGATGAATCTTGAAAATATTAAGTTAAATGAGAAGTCAATCACAAAAGACAGCATATGGTATGATTCCATTTATATAAATTTCAGAATAGGCAAGTCCACAGAGACAGAAAGTAGATTAGTGGCTACCCAGGGCTGAGTGTGTGAGTGGGAGATAAGAAGTGGGAAATGACTGATAGAGGTTTCTTTTTGGGAAAATAAAAATGTTCTAAAATTGGACTGTAGTGATAGTTATACTACTCTGTGGCTCTGCTCAAAACCATTGTAAATGAGTAAATTTTATGGTATGTGAATTATATCTCAGTAAAGCTACACACACATATACACTTAATGATGTTTAATAAACTAGGATTCTATTAACAGGCAACATTTATTCTAGAATTGGGAATAAATACAATCCCAATAAAAAAATACAAGTGAAGTCAATTGTATAGTAATTTAAATATAGTAATATCTTAATATAATGCAGAATTTAGGATGATTCTGATCCATCTTAAAGGCTAATAGCATCCAAAGTTCTCCTCACCACTCAATCCATTTAAAATGAAGCATAACTGCATGAACACTGGAATCGAAGCAAGTTCAAGCAGAAATGCAAGATGCAATGTATAGCACAAGAAATCTGACATAAAACTTTCGTAATGTACTCTTTCTTTAAACAAGATCACAAACAACTGTTTTAAATTTAAATATCAAGGTAGTGTTAGTGATCACAGTGAGACACGTTAAGAATTAGTTTTACTTAAATACACATAAGTCAGTGATTTTCAAAGTGTAGGTTCTCAAGGAGCAGCAATAGCATTATCTGGGAATTGAATAAAAATGCAAATTTTAATTCACATTCCAGACACATTAAATAAGAAAAGCTGGGCCAGGACCGGTTTGGCTCAGTGGATAGAGCGTCGGCTTGGGGACTGAAGGGTCCCGGGTTCGATTCCGGTCAAGGGCATGTACCTTGGTTGTGGGCACATCCCCAGTGGGGGGTGTGCAAGAGGCAGCTGATCGATGACTCTCTCTCATTGATGTTTCTAACTTGCTATCTCTCTCCCTTCCTCTCTGTACAAAATCAATAAAATATATTTATTAAAAAAAAAAGAAAGAAAGAAAAGAAAAGCTGGGAGTAGAGTCCAGCAATCTGTGTTTTAACAAGACTCAGATAATTCTGGATGGGGTAAAGTGGGGGAAAACACCCAAAGACAGACATACTTAAAAAACAAAGTCATGACATCCTTTTTAATGGGATACAGATATATCACATCACCGTGCTTCAATCAGATATTTTTAATGATTTTTCTTCCACTTAAAAGTCATTTCAAGGATAAATATAACCTGAAGTTAAGTTCAATTACACGCTGACCATAAATTAAGAAAAGTGATCTTATCTGTCCAAAGTCTTAGATACATTTAATCTGTTCTTTTGTTGCCTTCAAAAAATGCAATAAATGATAGATCTAAAGGTAAGAAAAAATGTTTTAAATAAAATAAAAAACAAGTGAAAATGCCTGAGTGGCTTGCTTACTTTCCTGATACATTATATTACACATGAGATTTAACATGAATGTATTTATTTTATGTATTGACTTCCCCCCCCCCTTGATCCAAGATATTTCCAAAAGTCATGTCTAAAACCTTGAAAGCAGGGCCAGATTAAATCCTGAAAATCAGTGCAGTAAGAATGACTGAATACAGTAGCATTCTAACTCTAATTCTCCTCATGCTTACTGACAGCCTCCCTTTGCCACACCAGCAGCTCCTCACGGGCAGTCTCCATAGGACTGCCCACGCTTTCTGGTTTGGAGGCTCACCTCTAAGTTCCTTATGGACAATAATCACCTGCAGGGAGATTTTGGCTGATAACCGGGTTACTTCCAATCACACCAGGGAGGCAGATGAAACCCTTGCCCATTATCCAGAGTCAGCTTTCTGAATGCCTTGCTTATGCTTTTTTAAAGGCCTGTTGTGCTTTCTGTTTTAAACCGGGATATGCATATGTTCAGAGAAACTTAACCTCCTCATATTAGGCTTGAACTTTGCAATAAAACAGAGGGAGGATAACCAAGCGCCATTTACAACCAAAGTATCTGCCTCACATGAACACTTATATTGAAAACTGGCAGCCATTCTTGCTTGGACAAGATAAGGCCCATTGACATTGATCTTCAAATTCTTTAAGGCACTGAATCTGTGTAATCCTTTTTGATCTACAGGTTAAAAACAAGAAAGCAAGCAAGCACAGGCCTCATGCTTCAAAGTCCTTCCTCAAGAGAGAATATTTATAACAGTGTTCTTAGATCCTTCCTCCCCTGCCTTTAACAGAATTCGGTGACAGACACAGGCAATACTCTCTCACTATTTACTATGGAAGAATTTTAAGGTCAATTCTCAGGTTAAAAAAAAAAAAATTCTTAGAATACTTTTTAGGTGTTTGCCCACCTCAATTTTGTATGGCCAAGACACTATTTTATAAGGTTTAAAAACTGTAAGGTATAATATTACTGAATAGTCCAAAAATCATACACTAAACATTTAAACATAAGCAGAGATTGGAAGTTTGCCTTTCCTATGCATTGCAGGCTAAGCACATGCTTGATAGACGGACACTGTTAGTGAAGCTATGTGCAGGGGGGTTAATAGAACTCGTGAAGCCACCATTACCAACACTTCTGCGTACAGACAGCATGCTTCGGCTGCAGAGGGGGCCCTGATACCTTTAGTTCTTTAAGCCCCTGCATGTATCTCCCTTCTACATCCTGTATCTGGTCCTTAAGGTCATAGATATCCTGCAGGACATAGGAATGAACCGTTGCATAAAACCATCCACAAACATATCTTAAGTCTCAAAGAATTCAGATGAAAATGTGAATTTCAGTTGAATATTCCAGAATAAAAGCCAAAAAAATTAGAGTACACAAATGTAACTGCCACTCCCAACCACTACAAAGGGCAAGCAGATCAGGTGACAGGGGGGCTGGAGAATGTATCTAAGGAGTTAAACATTTTCTTGGCATTAACCCATGTTGAAACAGCATTAGCAAATGGGGGTGGGCTGTATATAGAAAAAAGAAACTACATAAATTATAACATTTTAACATAAATTTTAGAATTTTATAAATCACTTAAATATTTAGCATAATCTTTAGCTAGAACAAGTAAAATATGTAGTACATTAATTCTAAGCAGCAAATTTTACTGGCTTGTGCAGAAGCCTTTTAAAATGTAATAAATGGATATGAACAGTTTTTTTTTTTTTTTAATAACTTGGTTACTGATCACAATTAATTTGGGAGAAAGAAAGTAAAGGGAGGGAGGTTAAACACAAAAATTTCAACACAATGTCAAATGAGAGTATCCTAAGGAAACTAAGCATTTGCTCCAAATGTTACCATAATCCTTATGAGGAAAGTGAAGCAGGTTGCATTTTAAATGGAAAATACTGTTTCTCTTAGTCCTGGCCCTGTGTGAATGCTTGATTTCGGCGGGAAATAACTGCCACAGTGCCCTAAATACAATTCTGCAGTACAGGCAGGAGCAATTATCCAAGGCCGATACACACAGTTTCTGTATTGTACTTCCTCTGCCCCATTCAGTCTCTCCTCAGTGGGTTTGTCTGTCTTTTATTCATTGATTCATTCAACAGACATTTATAGAGGTTTTGATGGAAGTCGGTTACAAAAATCTCATTTCTTTCAAGGAAGTCATTCTCTCGAAGAAATATAAGTACAGAGCAAGCACAAGAAAAGTCTGAGGCTTGAAAGAGAACAGAAAAATTAACCATTCTCCTTCATTTCAGACAAAAGTCACATTCTTAAACTGTATTAATAATTTTCTCTGAAAAAAACTCATACTCCTTTTCTTTCTACTGCATTACATTAAATGATAAATAGTTTCAGTAGACTCGTATACTGCAAAGAAGCCAAAAAATTGTTTCTGAAAAGCCACCAAAAATTGTGGTTTACCCGCAGTTCACTTAATGAGGTGTCAGGATCTATTAAGCTGCTGGTGTCCCCGCTTCCTCGTCTGGATGAGTTTCCGCTCAGAGGGGTTGTTGCTGAGGCAGAGTTTCGAGATGAAGGCTAGAGGAAAGAAATATGACACTCTTAAGTCTTGTTCCTTTAAAAATGTTTGCTGTAGAAACTAAAAAAGGCCGAGTGGTGAAGGAGATCTAATAGCGTGGACGAGAAGTTACCCAAGCGCAACCCCAGGCAGTTCAGGTTGGCTTTGGGGAGGGGCCCCAGAGAAGGGCTCGGCACTCCGAGCATAACTCCCGTCACTCAAAACATCTTCATGGAACCTAGAACTCACAATGACTAAGAAGGTTTGTTTTCTAAGTTTATCTTTGCTACACTGTGAACATACTGGGGTGAACACATCAGGTTAATTTTTAGATTTAGAATTTTGTAATTGGTATGCGAATTAACAGTCCTCTTATTTATTTCCTGAAGCTGCTTCTTTAGAATCTTTTCTTTTTCTAATATTTTGTTAGAGTCGGAGATGCTATCTGCAGCTGAGAGCAACAGTATCATGCATCACTATGATTTAGACTGCGCTTCCCACAATTAGTTTAAATGGGCAATTATGCTGTTGGATTAAAAAATGGCATAGATCTATGTTGTCCAAAACAGTAGCCATAAGCCCTGTGTAGCTACTGAGCACCTGAAATATGATTAGTCCAAAATGAGAATTTTTTTTAAGTGTAAAATATATACCAGATTTCAAAGGCTTAATGCAGAAAAAAACAATATAAAATATCTCAATATATTTTCATGTTGATTACATTGAAAATATTTTGGATATTTGGGCTAAATAAAATAATTATTTAAATTAATTTTACCTGTTTCTTTTACTGTTTTAATGTAGCTACTAGAAAATTTAAACTTACATACATGTGGCTTACATTGGTGGCTTGCACTATATTTCAACTGGACAGAACTGGTAAATCTTTTTTGGATACAGCATAAAAGTAATCCTAATAATTTCCTTAAGAAGACTATCAGAAAATACTTCTGGAAGAAAGAGACTTTGACACAAAGCAACTCCCAGAAAAGAAGTTATTTTACTTCAAAGAAATAATTTATCTTAAAGGGGGAAAAGATCTTAGCGGGTGTCACTACCATTCCTTAAGACACTTCATCTGCAGTGTCTTCTTCTCGGGATCAAATTCTAGAGGAATGAAAATCAAAACAACAGCCAAAAGCTTAGAGGTGACATTCAGGGAAATAAAATGCAGTGTCTTTACTCTTCCCAGTGCTTCACATGATTCAAACTCAGAGGAATTTGGGGGTCAAGGACAGGAAATACATGAAGAGAGGAAGAGGAAAAACATCAGCTCAACTGTAGTAAAATCAAGAATGAAAGTAAGTGTAATTGACCTTGAGAGTTTCATTCTTTTAGGACTTTCTATACTCACTCTTGTGTAATTTTCAGCATACTGTTTGTCAGATTTCTCATCCAACTAGAAAAGAACAGAGATAAAAATCAGAAAAGATGCTCAGGCATTTTGATTTTTTTAGGGGGAAAAAAGAAGTGACCTCTTTTGAGTTCTCCAAGTTCAATTGATGTTTGGAACCTAAAAGTAAACATGCTAAAACTGAAATAAAAGCTGAAATATATAAGACAAAAGGTCAAAAACTTAAATTCTTACCCTAACGGAGACATGAAGCAAGCAAGCAAGCAAGCTCTTCTTTAGCAAAAGTTTACAACTTTTAAATAGATTTTCTTTTCATGGAATTTGAACACATTAATGAAAACTATACATAAACTTCAATTTTAGTATTGCAAATGTTAATACAAAAAAACTTGTACACTTCCACAGGAAAAGTCTGATACAACCAAAAGTTAAAAACTTTATTATCTAAACATTATTAGGACACAGGACACATAGATAAGAGTAGTAAATTTAGCCAAAAAAGTTCAGATTGGACTAAAGCATATTAAATATATCATCAAAAAGAATTTCCCCATAGCATTAAGGATTCAGTTGTTTGTCTTTTTGTTCTATTTTGTTTTGTGGTGTTTTTGTTTTGTTTTTTTGTCATACATACAAACAAACATTTTTATTAATCAAAGAGCACAACAAGAGTATACAAAATAAGCCTTTTTTCCCACTACATCATAACCTGACCTCCAATTCTCAATCCAAGGCAACCATCTCCCAAGTCTTTAAAAAAGTCTAACAACAATGTCCCAAATACATTCTATATCTCTTTTTTTTCCCTTATCAAGTTTCAAAGATTAGAGAAAGTACTTCATTTTCCTTCATAGCATTTATTGCTTCCTGGCCGATATTTAATAATTTATTTATGCCTCTCTCTTTGACGTAAGCTCTATGTCTGTGTTCTTTTCTGTAATCCTAACACCAAAAATAGCACCTGGCATATAGAACTCAAAATTTGTTGGATGAATGAAAAACGACTTTTACCCCATCTTTACTTGTAAACTGACCTCTATTTTAACAGTTGCATATGCATTAATATGCTGATAGGTTTTCAGGCTGTTTTAGAGACAGTGTTTCAAGAAGGTGAGGTACCTTGCCCTAGTCGATTTGGCACTGTCGCATCAGCCTGCGGACTGAAGGGTCCAGGGTTTGATTCTGGTCAAGGGCACATACTTAGGTTGCAGGCTCGATCCCTAGTAGGGGGCGTGCAGGAGACAACCCATCAATGATTCTCTCTCATCATTGATCTATGTCTCCCTCTCCCTTCCTCTCTGAAATCAATTTTAAAAAAATATTTTTTTAAAAAGAGGAGAGATATCTTAAAGGTTTGTCAAAAACCCTGACTTTACAGCTGAGGAAAGAGAAATTCAGAGGTGAAAAGTTGAACAACTACAAAATGACAGAACTGAATGCAGATCTCAGTTTTGTGAATTTTAGCCTAAGCATTCGTATTATTTACTTCTATATACTGTCCCAGTTACAAGAGATGCGAAAAAATTCACATAGAGATTTAAGTAAATATAAATATATCCAGATTCCAGCTACTGAACCAACCGTCCCAGCCTAATCTAGAAAAGAGATTTAAAAACTTTTCTTGGTTAATTATTTAAACACAAAACGTCATTATTTCTGGCTCTTTTCAGATCACTTCACTCTAACTTCCTCATATTTTAAAGTTTTTCTGTTCTTTTTCATTACATTATTGCATTCAATTGCTCAGTAAATACCTTTTTATTATGAGTACTATATCAATAATATTAATACTACCTTAGACTTTGAACTCTTTTTGCTACTTCTTGCTGTAATACTCCAAAAAGGAATTTATTTCAGTTAACTCTGATTTTTTAAAACTGTATATGAAATGTTTTATAACAATCAGGCAATGAGGGTAGTTTTTATATTGGCAATCTTTGCCATAAAAAGGGAATAACCTTCCATTACATCTATACTAGTAAAATACATAGCCTAATATTTAATGTGTTATTCTTTAGTGTGAAAGAAATACTATACCTAAACTGCCTTATTTTCCTCAGAGACTCTCCAAACTCTCTTCTACTCATGAATTAAGAAGAAAAACAGCATTTAGACATTTTTCTAGGTCAATTTGAAATTGTCTCATATCTCCCCTCCCATAAAAATGACTCCAACCCTCCTATTCTTTAATAGTCAACTTGGAATAAACTTACATTTCAGAGGTTGCATCACTGACCTAGTCCATCGCAATGTTGATTCTACTGCTTTCACTGTCTTCTGACGGATCCCAATTGTCGCCAGACCTCAGGGATTGTAAAGCCAGCAAAAAATGCTAGAGCAGCCATGCCGCAATCCAGTTATTTTAGCTGCAGTGACTTGGCCAGAGACTCTTCAGTTCTCACTGCTCAGCCTTTGTGCTGTATTATGTGCTGAGGTTCATTTCAACAGCATGCTAGCTGACCTGATATTCTAAAGCCGAGTGCTCTAACAGCCAGGAGGTCTACATAGCATAGCTGTACTGCCCAAAGAGTATGCCAGATCCTGAAAGGCTTTTTAAATGAATAAAATGTAATTGTGTTTACTATATTAAAGTATAAAATAGGGAGGGATTTGAAAAAGGGCACAAACCTTCAGCTAAGAGATGAATAAGCGCTGAAGATCTAATGTAAAACATGGCAACTAGAGCTGATTTTAAAAATTGTATATAATATGGAAAAAAGATATGCACTAATATGAAAAATGACTATAGATTAGTGAGAAATCAGAAAACAAAGGCTTTATGTACTATATGATCACAATTCGATAAAACAAGCAAACTAAACTGCAATAGTGAAAATTAATGAAAATAATCAAACTGCTAAGAAAAAAAATCAAGTGCCTAATAAAAAGGTAGATTAAAAAAAAAAAACTAAGCAAAGCTTTTATTTTGCGCTAGAGTAAGGCGTTGAGGACTTGTTCATTAATACTAACTATAGCCAATTATTCTCAAAAAATTTCAAGTAAATATTATGCCACTGTGCTCTTAAATAATTAAATGGGTAATTTTCCCATCAAGAAAAAGTCATTTTTCTTCTTAGTGGTTGTAAATAGAGAGTCAGCTAACAGGCTTGTAATATTTCATATTAGTATTAATGTCCAAAAAAAAGAGTGTACATGATGGCAAACTTTATATTGCAATTAGTCCCTGTCAGGAATTATCTTTCTTTTAATGTTTTTTACCGTTTCACTTCATTACTGCTCCATGTGAGTGACGTGGGTGGGTTCCGACTTATGGCGAAAATCACTTTACGTCGCGCCATAGGAATGGATCTCCGACGTAACCCGAGGACCTGCTGTATATGTTGTTAAATCTTTGAAACTCTGCTTCTTCAAAGATTAAGAGGACCTTTAAACATTACTTTAACCTATGGCTAGTTAGTTAACAGATAATTTAAAATATACTATAGTTTGTTTAATATAATCATTATATATCTTTGTTAACTTCTAATTTACATATACTGACTTGATAATGCTATTCAGAAATTCTGTTTGGGGGAAAAAGAAAAAAAAAGATCAGATTCTCCAAGTGTAAGAGTGAAGAGAACAATTAATTTAATACTCTCCTGAAAGAAAACAGGCCAAGAATTCCATTCAGAAATGGTTTAATTATTAACAATCAGTAAAACTGAAATGAGTACATTTAAATTATTTTCCTTTAATCCAGCCTGACGTACAGGACAGAAAAGAACACAATGTAGAAGAAAAGACAAGAGGCTGGAACAACATAATATTGTATAAAATCAGGGCCTGGCACTCTTTTTAAGAGTCTCCTAGCTAGCGGTCATAAACTAGCTGACTATACACATATATTTGATCCACAGTGGAGAAGCCATAAAATACCATCAAGTCCACTTTTTATTTGTCTACAATAACCTAAACTATAGGATACCCTTTAAAGGAAATATTAGAGACAATGTTTTAGATGACAATAGAAAGATGACCAGCAAATATTTTAGGCTTTGCCAAGAGGCAAAATTAAGGATATTATATGTGTAGGTTCTTAGATAACCACTTAAAAATATAAAAACTACAATACACTGAAACTTTTTTAATGAAAACAGAGCATTGTAGTAATGAAAACAAATATATATATATATACACACATATATACCATTGACTCACAAGCTATAAAATTTACCATGAGCTGACCTGATATGCAACCCGCTCTAGAGAATCTTTCGCTTATATGATAAGGTGTACAGCATGGTTTGCTATACATACAAGCTATGTATATTGTGTGTGTGTATGTTAAGTCATCGTATTATAAACCTTAATTAAATATGTACAATTTTTATTTTAAAACTTGTAAATAAATCAAAATAACCACCTGGGGAAAGAAAAGTTATATTTAATTAGTAGGTGTATGGGAATTTTTTTTTTTTTTTAATTGTTAACCTCGCCGAACCAGTTTGGCTCAGTGGATAGAGCGTCAGCCTGCACACTGAAAGGTCCCAGGTTCGATTCCGGTCAGGGGCATATACCTTGTTGTGGGCACATCCCCAATAGAGGGTGTGCAAGAGGCAGCTGATAGATGTTTCTCTCTCATCAATGTTTCTAACTCTCTATTCCTCTCTCTTCCTCTCTGTAAAAAATCAGTAAAATATATTTTTAAAAATAAATAAAAATAAAAATTGCCAACCTTTCACTTCTGTGTAGTCACTAAAATAAATTATCAAGAAATACATGTAATAACTATATGACCACTAATTCAGACATCACAAATTAGAGGCTAGTAGAAGTAAAAGCTTTTAAGAGAAAACGTAAACACAATAAATTAAATTTGTTTACATCTTGATAAAAACAGGGAAGGTACTAACTGAATCAGAAAAAGGCTTTATTTCAGGGAAATCAGAAAAAGGCATTATTTCCATCTTCTGTGTGCAGAGATTCCTTGACCTGACACAGGATGAGCTGGGACTGTTACACAGCCATGTTTGAGAGCTACCAATGCAGAATACTTACAGACCACACTCAAAATTACTTTCTGTAGTTAAAGTCATTCAGAA